ATCTTACCTACAGTCGAGTGTTTCTGACACTGTGCTGATTCAGGATGAGACCATATGGGCCTGAAGGAGGAGGAGGAGGCGGAGGAGGAGGAGGAGGCTGGTCAGGAGCAGCTGGTGCTCCGCTCCTTAACAAAGGCAGCAGTTAACAGATTAGAGGCTTTGACGCTAAATTTAGACACTGAGGCACTCTGTGCTGCAGGAGCCAACTCAAAATCAGAGCAAACTGATTCCCAAAATAAAAATAAATGAAATATTCCTTTATTTTAACTCTGAAACTCTACATTTTAACTGTTAAGGTGACTTTCTGTGAGTTTTTCTCTTAAAGAAACGGTGTCTGGCACTCTGCCCTGTGTGTGCGCTGTAAAGCCTTAAATAAACTGAGTGTGTGTGCAGGATTATAAAGAACAATACCACAAGGACACACACGGCAAACATGAGACACACTAGGTTAGAATCAGCCTGCTCTCTTCTGTCTACATGATGAAACTTCAACCTGCACACTTACATCTTGATGCAGAAAGTTTATGTTACTTTATCTGTGAATCTTTGCAACAACGCACCTGCGGCAGGAAGTGGGCTGACCTCACCTGACCATCTGCAGGGTCTCTGCAGAGCTGCTCACATTACTCTCATGTCTGCTGATGCTTTGTGGCTAAAACAAACAGTAGCTTTAGGTGAAGCTGAAACTCCAACGCTCTTCTGATCCTCTAAATCCTAAAGGTGGAGTCACTGAGAATATGAGTGTGGAGGTCGAGGGTCAGAAGTGTGAATGTGGGCGGTGTCCACATTCAGAGGGCTGAACGCTGTCAGAGTCACAGTCCCTGCTGAGGGCTGTTTCCCCTCTGAGCTTGGTGCTGTCACGTCAGGTTAACTTAGTGTCTCATTAATTTACAGAAAATCTCTGATTTCCTTTTTTTATGCTGTACCCTGAAGGCCTCATCGTCTGTCAGCATATTTTCTCAAGTCTGTGAGATCCGAAAATAACCATTCAGCTAACGGACATGAGGAGAGCAGAGGGCAGAGGGGTTTGATATCTGTCTGTAGACAGAGTGTGGATGTATGGAGATGTGGAGGAGATGAAAAAAGAGGAAAAGAAAATACATGTTTTAAAATACAAAAACACCTGCCCATCCGTATTTTCAGTTACACCTTCAGTCCTTAGTCAGGGCTCCTTTCCTGTGAGTCCCTGCATCAGTGTAGCGTAGCAGCCATCAACCTGTAGCCCTGTTGAGGAGCGACTGAGGTCCAGGTTACTTTGAAGGCTCCTTCATGTGTTTCTCATCTCCCTCTTGACAAATATATCTCACAGAGTCTCTATGGGGTTCAGTTCAGATTAGCTGGCTGGACCATCAAGCACAGTAACATCATGGTCATGAGTTTTGACACTGTGGGCAGGTCCTGCTGGAAAAGATGATCTGGATCTCCATGAAGTAGACTTTAACCTGATCAAACACAGTAGACCAGCAGTAGTTGATGACATGGCACCCCAAGCCATCACAGACTACAGAAACTTTATGCTGGACTTCATGCATCTTGGATTCTGGGCCTCTCTGATCTCCTTCCAGACTTTTAGACCTGGATTTCCAGATAAGATGCTAAATAGTCCAGTTCTTTTTCATCTTAGCCCAGGTGAGACTCCTATGATGTTGTCTCTGGTACAAGATTATCGTGACAGCAGGGACATTTGTAGTCCATTTCCTGGACTCGTCTGTGTGTAGTGGCTCTAGATGCTCTGTCCAGTCCTTGTGAAGCTCTGCTAAGTTCTTGAATCTGCTTTGTTTGACGGTTCTCTCAAGGCTGCACTGATCCCAGTTGCTTGGTCACCTTTTCCTCTCTCTCTTTGGCCTTCCCTGGAATTTGGGATGCAAACCATCCACACCCAGGACTCAGCAGTCTGCACCATAACTGGGGCTGTTTACTGAACTAGACCAACAGTTTTTGTCCTGTTTAAATAGTGACTCTTACTTTGTCTTTGGACATTTGTGCCTAATGTTGAGAGATCCTGGCTCTTGTAGGGCTGTCAGCCATGTTCTGTCGTCTGGAGTTTTGTTTGTTTTTATACAGAACAAAATACTCAAAAAAGTTATATCTTAAAAAGTCTTCACCATATCTACACTTTTGTTGAAGAAGCATCTGTAGTTCTGCAGAAAAATACAGTCATGCAAAATGAGACGGAGCCTCGTGAGCTGGTTTTACGCAATGATCCCCGAAAATTTCCTTCACTCTGTAAATAGATAACAGAATTTCACAAGGAGCTGATCTTTCATTCAAGGGAAAAGTCAGCGAAACTGAATGCAGACATGTGGGTTGAAGACAATATCTCGATCTTGTGATGGCTGCATGACTGCTGAGCAACTGGTGTGAACTTTATACACATGATGAGTTTTTATCTTCTATTTCTGCTTCCAGCATTTGTATTTCGCTTTTACATAATTCATGAGAGGACAAAAACTATCAGCAGAGTCAGACTCTTAATCTCTTTCGAGGATGTCTCACAGGGACCACCACAGCGCCTTTTAGTGTGACTTAGGAAAATTTCAGATGCGGATTGTCCTGGAAATTCTTGTAGAGCGTGTTCATGTGTGAAAAAGGCTAAATCGGTCTTTGCCTGCAGCCTCCAGATGACTAAAACTGTTTGTGCTAATGAGCAGGTGGAGCGTGTCTGATGGAGCCGGATTTAGTGGACCCGAGCTGACCTACACAGCTGCCTCTGCTGCATGCTCCACTTTACCTGATTACACCTGAGGACAGAGAGGCGGAGTCTGAGAATTAAAAAGTGTTACACAGATAGAATTTTACAGACTATAGAAGAGGAGGAGGAGGTGGAGGTGGAGGTGGTGGTGGAGGAGGAGGCTTTGCTTTCTCTCTGGATGCCTTTCTGTCAGCATCACATGGTGACGTCAGACTCAGCAATCCTGCACACCAAGTTCACACAGATCACGCAGACTCTCTAGGAAACACACCCGATCTGCCTTCAAAGTAAAAGCATGAACATTGTTGCACGCCTGTAAACACACATTTATATTGGCAGCTGTTTTTACGACTACTTCAACATTTATGGAGCCCAATTCACCTCGTAATATAACCAGTAGGTGGTGTTTAATGGGAGTCCATAAATGTTGCACCTACGGCTGAAGAATCTAGACTGCACTACCTCTGTAGGTGGTGATTATTACTTGGCATTTACGCATTAAGTATTGAAAAAGAGTTATTTGCAACTCTGAACCGTTCTCAGGAAATAATATGGGGCTCTGCTTTAGCTTTAGTGGCAGTTCAGACTTTTTTCCCTGCACAGACTTTCAGAAGTGTTACACTGTTATACTGGAGTACAAATAAAAGATAAATTACTTCAGCATTTTGTTGTTTAATGTTTGCACGGACATCTTATCTCTGCAGGATGTTTAGATCCACCAAGTTGGTGCACTGTAGTGGTGCACATTCCTCTGTACTTTCTGCACTTTAGCCTGGATCTGGTATTGAGATCTGGATAGCAGACTCAAATCTGGCCCTTATTCAGACCATGAAAGTGGCTCTCTTGGCTCCTACTCTCGAGTGTGCAGCTCACTGAGCCTGTGCAGTTTGTTTCAGACACTTGGCTCACAGCTGTAACGTTGTGGTTGTAACCCTGATTGTCTGCAGGAGGAGGTTCTCTGGCATGACCATCTGTAACTGTGATAGTGAAATTTTTTTAGGCTGCAAGAGGTTTTTCGTTACAATGCCGAAAATGAATGTTGTGCAGACTGTTGGCATCTGCTCCTTTATTTTAATCCTGACCCAAGTGTTGATGAAGCACACCGCCTTCACAAACATGCAGAGACTGAGAGGTTGAGAGAAAAGATCAAGCTGCAATTCCAGAAACTTCCATCTGGGCCACCGGAAGCTTTTTATGGATGTCTTTAACGTGAGCTCACAGTCTGGATGGAGGCGTCAATGCCAAACTCTCTCTTCACTTGCATGTCTTTGACAGTGACAGATAACCACTTATCAATATTCCTCCTAACAGACGTGAAAAAAAGAGGGTATCAGAGTGTCTAAGTGTTTCTGTGAAAAGGCAGACATTAAATATTGTTCTGTGACTGCAGCTGACAGAATAAACTTGAGTAAGAGTTAAAGTCTGAGGCCCTGAGTCCAACTGTGCAAACTTTCTCCAGAAATATTTCATGAAAAGCAACAAAAAAGCCACTAAATTCAACATTTTTTCAAATGAATGCAGAGTTATTTACAAATGCAAAACATTTCATAGAAGGCAAAAAAAATGATGGTCTGCAAAAAAGAAATGCAAAATTGTTTTTAAAAATTGAAAAATCGTTTAAATTATGATAATTTTTAGTGTTTGCATAACGCTTCCGGTTTAATGAAATTCTGCTGTGCCCTGTGGTTTATTTTTTATCGGATAAATCAGTGGTTCTCCAGTCCAGTCCTCGAGGCCCACTGTCCTGCATGGGCCTCGAGGCCCATGCAGGACAGTGGGCTGTCCTATGGGTTGGGACCATAGACTGTAGTATATACAGTCTATGGTCCCAACCCAAAAGTGGGTTGCGGACACATTCTTGAAAGAGTGAGACCAGTTGAGAACCACTGTGTTAAACTATTCTATGTTGCCCTGTATGCCTCTGTGTTTCTGCATTGTGAGAAAAGTGGTTTGGGTTTAATGAATATTTTTTGTTTAGAGGAGTATTTTTCCATTTGATGGCATTTCCATGTAAATAGTAAAAGGTTTGTAGGTTTACATTCGATGTTTGTGAAATCTTTGCACAGTTCTCCTTCTGGGCCACATCAAATGTGTCTGAGAGCATGGAAAAGGAGTAATCTTTGTTTATCCAACATGTTACAATTCACATTTCCTGTTAAATATCGCTCAATTATTCTTTAGGCCAATGTAAAACAAGAATAGTAGTTTCAGCTTCAGCTCAGATAACCAGTGTCCTGCTCCATGTCTGCTTTTATTTTGTAAATGACCGGAAGTCGTGTTCTCTCTCCCTCCGTGCAGTGAGAGCGTCTTCACCCTCAGCAGAGATCGTTAGAGCTGTCTGTGCTCAGACTCAGAATCCGTTAAAGACCCGAGTCTGGACTAAAAAAAGAGTCCTTCCACGTCCTGAACTCTGATCCCGGCTCAATGCGAGTCGGCGGGTCCGCTCCGGGTCCGGGTCCATGGCCTGATCTGATCCGGTTCCTCCGCAGCTGAAGCCTCCGAGATGCTCCGAGCTCTCTGCAGCTGCACAAAAACACCGTCACCGAAACCGGCCCGGGGACTCAGCGATGCTTTTCAGACGGAGAGCCAGGTAACGTTAGCATGCTAGCGAGACCCGACACAGACCTAAGCCGGGTCTATGGGGACCTGAGTCGGGTTTTGAGGGACCCGGGTGCAGTGATTGAGGAGGAGAAAGGCTGTGATCCTGCAGGGGGAGAAGAGGAGGAGGAGTGGGTGGAGGGCTGGAGGGGCTCCTTCAAAAAGAGGCCTCCAACATCTATTCATGTGTTACATCATGAGATCCACTATCTTTGCAATTACGGATAAAGGCTGACTTTTATTCTGAAACGCTCTGTGCCTGCTGGTGATGCAGACTGAGGTGGTGGTGGTGCAGACTGTGGGTGGTGGCTACCGGTCTCTCTGTGTGGATCATGCTCTTATTGTGTGTTCAGAGCAGGGCCGTGACCAGGCTGTCTGAGGGGCAGGGGGATGAAAACACAAAAGGAGCCCCAACACAAAAATATGGATGCTCTTATTTTGAAACAGCCTGGTTAAGCTTAAATCAGAGGCTGGACTGTTAATGTAAGATTATACTGCTGTGTACAAAAAATGTATATGGAAATTGCTGATTTTTTAAATGTTTCTTCATGTATCAGCTTCTGACTGTACACTTAAACCACAAAAGGGCCTTAAGAATTTTGTTTTCTGCACTTGGTGCCCTTGAGCCATCCATTACAGACTACAGCGGGGTGACGCAGCTCAAGGAAGAACATTTATGATTATTTCTTTATGGAAATGATAACAGACCAAGATGCTAAAGCAGAAGAACTACCGCGTCTGCAGTCCAAAATAATCAATATGGCGATTATTACTTGAAGGAAATGATAAAGTGATGACCATAAATGTTCTTCCTTGAGCTGCGTCACCCCGCAGTAGTCCTTAATGGACTGGCCCAAGGTCTCGCTACAAACAAGCGGCTGCTGAAAGAGAGTAGGTGAGTTGTGTTGAGTCTTTTTGCTAAAGAAATCAGGCAAAGCTAAAACGATGTTTGATGGCTAGTGCTGTGGCTGGGACCCTATATGTACTGTTGATGAAGTTTGGTGCTGTTCTGAGCATTATTTGTGGCTATAGAGTGGCGTTTAGGTTGATGTTTGTCTATGGCTCCTCAGACCGATGTGTATTGCTATCGTGCGGTCGTTACTAAAGTTGGTATAACTAGAGAAGCAAGCAGTCAGCAACATTCATCTCATGAGGGGGTGTCTAACTCGGTGTTATGGTGTGTTTGACCCTAAATTAATTTTACTCTGGAATATCCCTTTAAACTGCAGTTATGGCTACACACTGATGTGTTTGCAGTGTTGAACTAAAATCAGTCCTGTGTAAAAGATGCAGTCAAAACCGTCACAGTGGAAAGAGCGTCTTGTGCGTTACAATGACGGTTTGGACATAAAGTTAAAAAATGAGCAGATCTTTGAATAACGGTTCAACCTGCAGAGAGGAATCAGTTAACCGACACCCCTGTAATTGTTTCTGCACTTTTCTATGTGCATTTGTCTGCTGCGTTGTCTCTTCCCACTGCACCATCAAAATGTAACACAGTCCAATAAGATGTCATTTAAAAAGCTCTAAAATGCTTAGTGTTAGTAGAAGAAAGCATACTAATAAAAAAAAACAGGTTAAAGCAGTGAAATGATGAAAATCTTTAGAAAAATTAAACAGAGAAATGTGTTTTCTTCTCTAAGATGATGGTGCTGAACTCTCCTGAACCCTCAGTGCTTAGGTCTGAAATCACAGACATATCTTACGTCGAGGAAAGGTTTAAAAACGGTGTATCTCCCTCTGGTCATCATCATTTATTGTGATCTCTGTAAGATTTTATTGCGAAGGGATTACATACCCACTGAGCGGTGTAGCCGAGGACAGAGGGACGTTTTTGATGAGATTTCTGTTCAAAATGTCATCAAGTAGAGTCTGTTGATAAACACTTGGATCTGGTTTCACTCTCAGAGTCCCTTTCCCTCTGGAGAACAGCTGTATACTGACAGGCCTGCTGCAAAGTGGGCTGGTCTAGACTGGAGATTTCTGTCTCCTTTATTAAAGATTAATCAAGCTAAACTCCGACTAACGTGTTTTTATTGTTGTTGTGAAAATGATCCCAAAGTCTGATATGAGGACTGGCTAAAGAGTCTGCAGTGTTTTTACGTAAAGAGTCTGTTTAGTCCTCGAGCCCGGGATGTTTACTTAGAAAACAAATACACACAAATGTGTGAGGAGATGTATTTATTTAAAACAGTTTTAAACATTTTTAAGTCAGGAGTAATTAGAAAGACCATGAACACGATTTAAAATGGGGAAGGCTTGGCCTGAATGAAAAAGATCTGAAATACTGAGTCAATAATGAGATCTTAAACCAGATTATGAGTCCACCTTCTGTGAAAGTAAATCAAAATTATCTGGTAAAAAGTCTTGATAATAAGAAAAAAGTTCAGATTAAAATGGAAAATGGAGTCATGAAGAATGAAGTAAAAAATGTACATTAAAAAAATCATAATTTAAAATGGTTACCCAGGACCCCAAAAATAATGACAGAGACAGTCAGTGTTTAGAGATAAAATTCTAATAATGAGAAAGTTTCATTATGAAATAAGTGATCGAAAATGTAAAATCAGATAATGAGAAATAAAATCATTATAATGTCAAAACTTTGAGATAGAAAGTTGAAATAATGAGAAAGGCAGTCAAAGATATTAGACAGAAGGTTAAAGTAATAAAGAGAAAAACCATTATTGAAAGATTAAGAGATGATTTTAATCAAAGTTAACAAGAGAAAGAAAGTCTAATATCTTTAAAAGTGAATATAATTAGATAAAAGTTAAAATTATATGATGTTATATATTTTATCTTATGATTTAGACTTTTTATGATCTAATAGTTTGGAGTAGTTTCTTCCTTTTTTCCCTCTCTCAACTGCTGAAATGATCCCGTCCACTGCAGTTTCTTATTTTTGTATGAGCTTTGAACTGAAGTAAGTCCCTTGTTGGCTGAAATGTTATTGCGGCACAATTAACCTTTAATATGAAGGTTATACTGTGATTTAAAAAAACATCATGATGCAGATTAGTAAAAAGTTTAAATCCAGGATTTGTCAGGTCTGTCTGCAGGAGGGCAGGGAACATCTCCTAAATGCTGTTTTTTTATAATGAGGTTTGGTGATGCAATTCTAGGAAATCAGGACCGATAGTGTGTCAGCTGTGAGTGAGTTTATGCTCCAGTTAAAGTTACTGAACTTGCAGAGATGCAGAGTTTTGCACCATTGGAATGACTTTCTGTGTCTTGACTGTAAAAACATGTCTGCAATTTAAGAGGATTTCAGTTTTTGAAGGTTTTTACATCCCTCTCCTGATGTCCTCCTCAGCAGAGCTTTAAGAGGACCGGGACATTTTGAAGGGTGAGGAGCGTCTCAGAGAAACCAGCGCTGTAGCTACTTTGTCTGTTTAAGAGCGCAGTCTGCTCAGAAATAAGCCCAGAAAATGTCAGATCTGGTCTGAAACTGCTCAGGAATAAAGCCACTCTCCTCTCTATGCAGGATGTGCACTGATGCATTATTTTACTGACATTCAGTCATTGTGCAGCATTGGCGCAGTGATCGGGCCGTGGGCTGCGCCGCAGGCATGACTGAGCGCGGTGACTGTACACATGTGACATCATAACCTTACAAGAGTCATTTAAAGAGACAGACTACAAAAAAGGAGAGTTCCTAACTTAAGTCTGATTGAGCCCTTTGATACAGAAAAAGCATTATCACAGCACACAAGCCTGCTCTCTGCTAAAAATACTGACATTTAAAGTGAATTAATCCACCCTCTATGAGCAATAATAAAAACAGGCAGGGAGCTATTCTGAGGCATGTGGAGGACAGATCCTTCCTCAATATGTACGGCAGCCTGGAGGGCTCAGAGAGCCACCAAAGATGCTGTTTAATCAAGAGAGGGGCGACTGCTTTCTATGAATTCATAACAGACGATGATTGTTGTTTTAATGGAGTCTGATGATCCGAGAGAGGAGCAGCTCTGGACTCAGTTTCAGATTAAATCAATTATTAAAAAAGAAATGAAGTCAATGTGCCGCAGGGATCTGTTTGTGCTCTGTGGGTATTAAAAAATCATTCTGTAGTCATTTCCACAGATAGTATTATAATTACTGTGATCTGACCCCTGATTATAGGAGGGAATTACTGGTTTATTGTTAGTTCAGAGCTGATTAGTGTTTCTTAAATGACTGGATATTTAATCTGCATCTGAATTTGTGCTGAATTTAAAAAGCGGCTTCGCTGCCAACAGTGAAAATTGATGAGATGATGTTTTATTTTTTTGTTTGCATGGTTATATTTACAACTTCACTAAAGTTTTGGTTGCACATTTACATTAATGCATCAAATCTGCAACTTTCAGTAATTGTCTTTAAGGCCCCTTATTATGAAAAATCCACTTTTGGGTGGTTTTCTACCAATAATATGCATCCCCTCAAAGCCGACAACCAGCCAACGACAAAAAATTTATTCTCTCCTTCTCTTGCTTTCCCCTCCTTTCTGAAAACATGAGCACAAACAGGCGAATGGGAAATCTGTATGGTTATGACAACATAACCGCATAAGCCCCTCCTACATGTTGGTGGCAGCGCCCCCAATAATCGTTAGCCCAGCCCTCATCGCTTTGGTACAGCAATCATGTCAAAGCTACTCTTGGCTGCACAAACGAAGACAGGAGTCTATTTCTGCCTCCTTCGTCGGAGGATTTGAGGACCCAGTGGATGAATTTTATTTTTGATGGAAATGTACCCACAACAACTCTGTAAATGCCGTATGTGTGTGCGAACCATTTCACCACGGACTGTTTTACCGACGAGGGGCACTTCTTACTTGCGGGCCTCCCTGTGTGCACAGTCCAACCTCTGCAAATGATGTTCATCTCTCTCTACTGGCTTCTAGTAGCAGCCCACATTAGATGTAAACACCCACTTCTTTCCTACAATACTACAACTAAATCCTAATACAAATTTTTGTGCATGATTTCACATAACTTCTGAGGAAAATGGCTCTTGTTTTTCGAGGTGAAGGTGAGAGCTCCACCCGCTCCTCTCCAGCTCCACCCTCTCCTCCATTAAAACTCTCACTTTGGCTCTGAAACAACTCTAAATGGACCGTTATTTCCTCTGAGACTGCAGACTTAAAGATCAGCTTCATTAACATCCTCATTTCTCTCAGTCTAAATAAAGCTCTTAGTCCTCACGGCTGTCACACAGCATCATCTTAAAACCTGGTTTCTGTGTATTAATATGTAGAGATTATTAATTTTAATGTGAAATCTCTGCCCACACTCACACCCTGAGCTGACCTGAAATCCATGATAATCTCTGAGCTGCTTCACAAAACCTTCCGGAGTGTTTCTGCTCATTTATTTTATGCTAATGATGAAGATGTTTCCTAAATCTTGTTTGTTTTATGACTCATCTAACCCCCTCTGTCCCTATTTCTGTCTCCCCTTTCCTCCCCCGTCCTCCTCACTCCCTCCCTTTGCCTCTCTTCTCTTTTGTTACGACATCACCCCTCCTTTCCATTCTCTTCCTCCCTTTTTGTCTCTCTTTTTCCTCCTCATTCCTTTATTTTTTCCCTCTTCACTTCATCATTTCATTTATTTCCATCTTTCCCCCTCTGTTCTCTCCCCCCGTCCTTCTCCCTCATCAGGATGTTGCGATGGCTGGTGTGTGGTCGGCTGGGTCCGGTCTGGATGTGGAAAGCTCTGCTGCTCTTCGTGGCCATCGCATTTGCCGGCCAGCTGCTGGGAGTCATCTTCAACAAGAGGTAATTCAGAAAATGCTTTATTTTATGAACACCAGAGACCTCTCTGGACCTGAGCCCATTTAAGATGGACTCAATTATGTGAAATCAAAATTTAACCTTCTCTTTGGAAATCATGAATGCTGCATCCTCCTCTCTAAAGAGAAGAGGGACCACCCAGCTTGTTCTCAGCTCCCAATCCAAAGCCAGTATCCCTGATGGTATGGGGATCATCAGAGTCCCTATCATGGGTGGGGCTTGGCGATAAAACGATGACGATATATATATTAAAAATTAATTTCCCTCAGTATCAATATAAAACATGGTCAATATCCTTTTCGATAGTTTCGATAGTCTGCCATGTTTTGGTAGACTATACAAATAGCCAATGAAAAGGGGAGTTGCTCCAGGTCCGCTTAGCGCTGAACCAATCGTGTGCTGAATTAGAACCAAGTGGCAAACAGCTGCGTGGTAGCAGGCTGCAGCTACACACAACCATAGCACTTTAACAGGTGAAGCCGACAGGACTGTCAGTGAGAGAAAAGAAAATTAGTGCTACTCCCGGCAGAAATGCAGATGAAGACTCAACAGATGACGACATCGTCAACAACACTGGCACGTAAATGTCGGGGGTGTGGAGGTATTTTGGTTTTTTGAGGTCAGACATGAAGCAGAGTAATGTGCACTTCAAATTATTCTCGAGCACATGTTCTCGCAAAGTAGGGGAATACCTCAAATCGTTTTCACCACCTGAAGCAGTGCCACGCGGTAGAGCGCGCGCAATGCAAAAGGTTACAAACCCCGAGCGGAGCAAGGAGCCTGTGGCGCCTGTGCAGCTGACCATTCAGCCCGTTTTCTCTGGCGCAACGCCTCACGACAAAACATCAAAGACCTCACAGATGCTGTAGTTTATTGTACTGCAAAAGACATGCTACAAATAAGCACTGTTCAGTTTCATTTTTTATATTGTGATATATTTCGATATCGACTGATATGAAAAAAATATATCATGATAAACTTTTTCCCATATCGCCCAGCCCTAGTCATGGGTATCTTCCACATCTGTGAAAGCTCCATTAATACTGAACAATATCTACAGGTTTAGGAGCAACATCTACTGCCTTATAGACGATTACTTTTTCAGGAGAGACCTTCATATTTTAGCAAGATAATGACAAACCACATTCTTACTGCAGGGATTACAACAGTGTGGCTCTGTAGTAGAAGAGTCCTGCTGAGAAACTGGTCTGCCTGCAGTCCTGACTTTTCTGGAATTGGCATTTGATTTATTTAAAGATGTGGACTCAGAGGTGAATCATTTGTCCACATGTCTTTTTGTTTGAACCAAAACAAGAACTCATGTTCCTCTTAATGTGGAGCAGAGTGACTTGTGGTCGTGATCAGCTGATCATGTGACTCTGACAACCACAAGAACCGCAGCGAGGAAGAGACACTGAGGTGAAACACAGATGATTAGATTATGCGGAAAAGATTAACCAAGAAAATTTGATTTACATAAAACATTCGTGCAGATGTGACGCAGCTGTGGTCTTTATGATCATGCGACTCCAACAAAGATGCAGCGTCAGCATTTTTACTCTCTGCCTCACAGCTGAAGCAGTTTTGACCTCATTTGTAGATGCAGAGATGAACTGTGTTCCTGTCCAGAGTCCCACCTGTTTGGTCATTCTTCTTATAACTTAGGAAACTTGTTGCTACTGTTTATAGTTTTTTAGTATTTATCTCTGCACTATTTATTATGATGCAAAAACCATCTTTTTATCTGTATTTTGCAGTATCTTGAAGCGTCTGGTTGAATTTGTGATGGACACGGTCTATTTAAGAACCACATCCTCAAAGAAACAGTCAGGACTGATCTAAAGGCGTTTATGTTTGGTTTTGGTGTGTCCAAGACCTGGAGGAGGTCTTTGTGTCCGGACTTACGCAGACCTACAAGCATGTGTTGACCTCGAGGTGTGCAGCAGTTTACTTTTCACCACAGGGCTGACAAACACTGGTGGGAGAGATGGAATTTACACTTGGCTTTACTGCAGAGGAACCGGAACGGGAGAGTTTCTTTGTATAAAAAGCAGACACGAAACATGATGTGATGTGAAAGCAGAAGTTTTTGGACAGAAAGAAAGGAAACTGAATATTAATTTCCTCTTAATAGCTCCTGGAAGCTTCCTCTGCTCCTGTCCTCTAAAGTTGTAGTTTGAAGTCTTCTTGTTTCTTTAGGTTGTTTAAGTTTGTTCTCTGGGTGGGAAATGTCCCCCCGGGCATCAGTACGAACAGTATCAACAGCAACGTTATGACCCTCATTGTTAACGGCACAAACAAGAGCACACCCTGCTCTCTGGAGCTAAACGGGCGTCATGCTCGCTGTATTCTGGAAACACCCTGAAATCCATCTAGAGCAGATCAGATCAGTGAGGCAGATCTGAGCAAAGATCACTCACACCCTGCAGAGATGTAACCACTCTGGTATTTCTGCTCATTGCCATGACATTTCCATGAGTGTTTTCTGATGTTTTAAATACACACAGTCTTAACATGCAAATGTGATTTGCATGTTAAGACTGAAGATTAAGAAAAAGATCTCTGTACACCTGCTTATGTGGTGGATGTGTTGGAAGAGGTTCACCTAAATTCTTACAGGGAACTTCTGCACATTGTTTCATCTTCTACCACACAGTGTCTCCATTTTTTCACAGAAATCAATGAAAATGTGACAGAAATTGCATGCTTTTTCTCCAGATCCAACACATGCAACATGTTGATCTAAATTGAATCTGAATCTGGACATCTGTATGAGATATTTGTAAACTGTCCTGAGGTATTTTCTATTTTTGGAGTTATTTTCAGAGTGGAAATGTGTTCAGCTGCCCTCATCAGCGTTAAGGATGAAGTACACACTCATGCATTTTTGCTTTTCTTTGAGTATCTTTAAATGCTTAATATCTTTCTAATCTGGACATCCTCGAGGCCATAAATGCTCCTCAGATGCTATTTGATCTGTTCCAGTTTGTGTTTCGGTCTCGCAGACGTCTGTAACCTGGTGGTGTGTTTGTTGTGAAGAATGTAGAGGTTCATTTCTGCAGCATGTCGGTCTAACTGGTTCACTGTGTTCTCTCTGTGTCTCTTACTGAGAGGAAAGTACATGTCAGTGTTTCAGGCTGCTTTGTCTGCAGAGACACACCCCCTCCTCACTGACTCACTCTCTTTTTCTGCTGTGAGCTCACTGCTTATCACAGACGCACAAACAGCAAAGACGACAAACAAACATTCAGCAGCGATTGCAGACGAGGGATGCGAAGAGTACAGAATGTGACGCTGATTATCGTCCGTGGAATAATTACAGTTTTATCTTTAAAATGCGTTTGGTAATTTTCACATTACTTGTGCATAAAGACAGATGATTACTCTGCAGAATTTTTCAGGGTGGTGTTTATTTCCTCCTTTTGACATATTTTGTGTTACACTGACGCCCAACTATCCTCCCTCTGTGGTCAATTATAACTCTTTATATCTCATTTCCACCCAGCTTGCAATGGTCCTGTCTGTGTAAATGCATTGACTACTGCAACTCCTTACTGGCAGGCTTTCCTGTGTGCACAGTCCAACCTACACTCTGCTCCTGAACGGCAGCCTGATCAAATTCGCAAGCATTATAATCAATGTGCGTGATTCCGCTGCGGATCCACTCTGGCGGTCGGATCAGATACGCAAGGCCCCTATTTTTACCAGACGCTGCAGCACAACGCATCAATTCAGTGTAGCGGCAGTGAAAGTTGTATGTGGCACAGAGTAAAATATCAAATTTTCAAAATAAAATAAAGTCAATACGTTGAACTGTTCTTCACGTGATAATAGGAGGGGCCAGGGTTGTGGGATGTGGGTGTTTATATATACCACCGATCTCCTTCATTGTCTCACGGTGAAACACGCAAGATCTCGTGAGATCTCGTCCAGTCTTGTGAGAAATATCAGTAATATCGCAAGCGCTTCTCGTCCGCTTTTGGAGGTATGCTTGCGTTTTTGATCCACCTGCCATTCTGAAGTGTAGCGGGTCTGCATGCGTTGGAATCCCGGCATAAGGGTCCTCTTTTACTTCTGAGCCAACGCGGTGCCAGTTATGTTGAACAGCCGAGTAATCAGTCACCTTTGCTTTGATTTCGCCCCTGCTTTCTGCTCTGAATGACCAGGATTTACTAAAGGAGCATCTTGCTGTTTATATGCATGACTTCATACACTCATGCATGACTTCTGAGGAAAATGGATTCTTGCTTTTGGAGGTGGAGGTGGGAGAGTTTTTGTGGAGGAGATGATTTACGAGGGTTTCACTCGCTCCTCTCCAGCTCCTCCCTCTCTTCCACAAAACCTCTCACTTTGGGTGGAACTGTTTCATCTCCCTGTTTTCATTCTCTTAAAGCTCCACTGTGCTAACGCTGCACTTTTGGGGTTTCAGCTTAAATTCCTCTCCGAAGGAACGTGGTTTTAGTCTCCACACTGACACAGCAGATGCAGTTTTTGCTGCTGTACTGACCTTTATAATTTACAACCCTTCACCCCACTCCACTCGGAGTCCAGCTACAACCAAAAAACAGCCATTTTCCTGAGTCAGTGATTAACCTGGAAGTGTTTCAGCTGAGGAGTAGACTCTGCACACATACAAAGACTGAATCTGTTATTCTTTAGCTTTTAAATAGCTCAACATTAACCTCTCCCTCACTGTGCTGCTACAAGCATTTCCAACATGTTTCTGTCCTCTGAACATCTGGCTCTCCGGGCCCAGAGGGAGGTTCAGGTTGCAGCGATGTGGTCAGAGCATAAAAACTGGCTGTCCTCCAACTGACCTGCGCAGTGGAGCCTGACTGACGTTTGGATTTGGAGAGTAATACAGCAGGCTGTGTGGGGGTCATAGTGTAAGATGGTAAAACAGACAGGAAACGAAGTTCAGTCGAAGTTAACAGTTTTATTTTACACCCTGAAAGTTCAAATTTAAAAATCAAAGTGCAAAAAGAGAGTTAAAAAAGTTATTCAAAACAGCAGAAATAAAAAAGAGCTCACGTCTCTTTGTCCTCTTTAGATGCTGAGCACTCTCTCACCAAAGCCCCTTTTTGAGACACATCTCTGAGTGTAAGTGATTAAAAAGCACGCCAAGATTTATGTCACTTTTTTCTTCCTGCAGCAGTGAAACGGGCTGTGATGGCTGCAACGTAATCCTTGATTTGATCTGGTTTTTCTCAGTGTGGACTGCTGTGTTCGTAGAAAGGCATGTGACAGCTGTTCCTGGTTAAAAGTCATTCTCCCCATGGGCAAAAAGGTCTACGTCTGCAGGGATCTGAGGCTCAAATATACTGAAAAAGAAAAAAACAGATTTCCCCGCCTACACATACATACTTAAGCCACCCTGTAGCCTAGCAGCCCTGAGAACATGGGAGAGAAAAGGTCTCTGTGAGTCCACCTGCTGGGTAAACCCTGGTCCCTACAAAAGGATTTGAGTTTGCTCCTGTGGTGATGTAATGGCGGGAACGATGCATGCACCTCCTACCCCCCACTCCTCCAGTGATTTCGCCCTCTCTAATGCTAGTGCAGTTTAGCTCCTGTGTTTCAGAGTCAAAGGTTAGTTACAGACATACTGGATTAACTGCTCTGCAAAACCTGACTCAAATATGTGTAATCTGACCCAGCACTGATGGACCAAAGATATCGTTGCAAACCACTTCACACTGATTCAGCAGCAGAATTAGGGTTAACACTCAGAGTAAATGTACCACTCAAGAAAATGCTTTTCAACCACAGCTGCAACACTTCAACACTTTCCTTCTTCTGAATGGGATCAGGTTCTGGACTGTGCATGAAGTTATTGTTGTGTCTAAAACCTGCCCAAATACCTGATAACATATAAAGAAGAGAAAGACAATGGTATATGCTCGAGGAGAATGGACAGAGATAGCATCAGGTAAAATCTCAGAACCACTCTGAAAAGTATTTCCGCCCAGTCTCTTTATTTAGGGTTGTCCCTGGTTACACAATGTTTCTAAAGGATGGGGGAAAAATATGTGCAGCAACGTAAGCACTCTCATAAAACAGAATAATGAACAACTGAGAATATGTGAAGGTCAAGGCGACATTGTTGCATCAAACGAGCTCCTTCTGATAGGAGCGGATCCTCCTCTTTACTTCCCACGATTCACAGTGGAGGATACATCACCCATACACACACACCTGCTGATAGGAAAAAGACAAGTTCACAGAAAAATGAAGAAACATCCATGTGCTGTGTAATAAAGCTATTGGAGAGAGAAGTTAGAAAACACTCTTATATGATGTGTAACAAGAGATTAAAACAGTTTATACTTGTAGTAAACTCTTACATAAGAATATGAGGAATAATGATAACTTCTATATACATTTATGCACATTATTCTAACAGGTATTCTAACTAGAAATAGGACAGATACACTTGAGGGACACACTTGATGTGTATTTTAAACTCTATCATATATAAACTGTACAATGAGGGGTTCTCCTGGAAGGCTCGCCAGTTGTTTATTTTACTTTCCTAGTCTGAGCCCCTCCTCTTCAGATAATACAGTAGCCAATCAGAGCAATACCTCATTCTCATAGCAGCCCCGCCTTTTTAGATTACCACAGGGGGAGGCTAAATAACTGAGAGGCTGCAGATCCTTCACATAGGCTGAACTGGTCTGGACTGGACTGAGATGTTGGACTGTTGAAATCTGTCTTTCAAGAACTTTCCGTGGACATGCTCTGACCCACCAAGGATCACGTTATGGCCTATTTACCTACTGCTGTATGAAACAGTAAATGTGATGAATTACAAACCTGTTTATTCCAGTTGTTTATCTAGAGTTCTCTAAACCTGAAGAGTCCAGATCTGAAGTACTGATTTTATTTGATACAGCTTCTCTCTTTGGTTGAACTCCGAGGAAACAAAAAGGGTTGGATGAAAAACAAGAAATGACATGCTTTTTTTCTTTTCCTCTCCTGCAGCAGTGTCCAGCCGGCTGCTCGCTCCATCTTCTCGTCCCCTGACGCTCAGGGCCCCTCTCTGGGCTCCTGTCACCCCCACACTCACATCATGTTCCTGAAGACCCACAAAACGGCCAGCAGCACCGTGCTCAACATGCTCTACCGCTTCGGAGAGGAGCGAAACCTCCGCTTCGCTCTGCCGATTGGATACCAGCTGGGATATCCACTGTCCTTTAACGCTCACAGGGTCAAAGGTTACCAAGGCCCCCGAGTTGTAGAGTTCCACATCATGGGAAACCACATGAGGTTCAACAAGCTAGAGGTGAGCTGTGAAGAAGAGAAGAGAGGAGGGATGATGATAATCTGTCAGAAAGGATAAATGTCGGTACTGTCTTTCTCTGCCTGCTATCCTCTGTTGACTTAGACCGTGAGACAAAATGTGCAGAAAATTCATTGAAAGGTTTCTGATATTTGGTGATTCAAACCACAAAACATTCTGCATACAGTTTCTGCTCTGAATTAGATCTTAAACGCTCAGTGGAGATAAATCCAGTTGGAGGTCGTGGTGTACGACAGTAATGACACACTCCACTGTCTCTGTGTTTTGGTGTTTGAAATCACAACAGAGTAAGAGTACATTCATTTGTTTAGGCACCACAACATGTAGTGAGGTAGAGTGGAAAGCTGCATGCATACATCTTTGTTAAAGGGATATTCCAGCGTAAAATTAATTTAGGGTCAAACACACCAAAACAGAACCGAACTTCATCAACAGTACGTATAGGGTCCAAGCCAAAGCACTAGCTACCAAACATCTTTTTAGCTTTGCCTAATTTCTTCAGCAAAGAGACTAAACACAACTCACCTACTCTCTACCAGCAGCCGCTTGTTTGTAGCAAGACCTCAGGCCAGTCCATTACGGACTACAGCGGGGTGACGCAGCTCAAGGAAGAACATTTATGATCATTTACTCATGGAAATGCAATCAGACCGAGACGCTGAGGCAGAAGAACTACTACATCTGCAGTGCAAAATGATTAATATGGTGATTATTGCTTCAAGGAAATGATAAAGAAATGATCATAAATGTTCGTTATCAGCAGATTATGTTGCTGCTCCTACATGTTATAAAGTCAAGATTATACATTCTGCTAAAATGAGGGCTTAGATTGCCTTTCTTACAGTTTTAAAGTAAAGAACTCCGGTTACCCTCTTTTCTGTCTCAGGTGGAGAAGGTGATGCCCGCAGACACCTTCTACTTCTCAATCATCAGGGACCCCGTGGCACTCGCTGAGTCTTCCTTTGCTTATTACAAAGCGGTCGCTCCAGCTTTTCAGAAAGCCCAAGGTTTGGGCGACTTTGCAGATGATCCTCGAAAATACTACAACCCCCGTGTCAGTAACAACCACTACGCTCGCAACCTGCTGTGGTTCGACTTCGGCTTGGACCACAACGCTAACTTCTCCATGGCACTGGCTCAGCGAGGGAGGACCATGATCCAACGCACCTTCAACCTGATCCTGATCTCCGAGTATTTTGATCAGTCCATGATCCTGCTCAGGCACGCCCTCTGCTGGCCACTGGATGCTGTCGTGTCCTTCAGCCTGAACGCTCGGCAGCAGAAGCCCCGCAGCAGTGAGGGGCTTGGGGGAAGCTGGATGGGTAAAGCAGCAGCAGCGGCAGGTGTCGGAGGAAGAGGACGATTACCAGCAAGGTCACTTCCTAATCTATCACTGACGGAGGATCAGCGAGAGAAGCTGCGACAGTGGAATGCCTTAGACTGGTACTTATACAAGGCCTTCAACAAGACCTTCTGGGAGAAGGTGGAGAAGTTCGGCCATGCCCAGATGGAGCAGGAGGTTGCTCTCCTTCGGACGCGGCGGGATGATCTGGCTCGGGTTTGTCTCAAGGACGGAGGGAAGCCTGTGGAGGCTCAGAGGATCCGAGACAGGAACATCAGACCCTTCCAAAGTGGGTTAGTGAAGATCCTGGGCTATGAGCTGCAGCAGGGGCTTGATAACGCTACCAGGACGGTGTGTCTGAGAATGATCCGGCCCGAGATTCAGTACAAAGATGTGCTGGATAGTAAACAGTCCCCCCGGGTGGCCCCAGCAGGCCCTGCCCCAGCGGTCCCAGCTCCTGTCCAGGCAGGGCAGCAGGGCCCGGGTCTGATAGGAGCAGCTGGAAGGTCTTTTTTAAGACCTGACTCACCCAGGACAGCAGAGAGGCTGGCTGGAGGGGAGGCGGGGGGGAGGACAGTGGAGGAGGGGGGGAGGGACTGGGACGGAAGCCGTTTAAAAAAAAATAACCAGACAGTTATGGAGGAGAAAGGACGGCTCAGATAGTCCGGTGAGTAAGAACCCAACCTGAACTCTGAGCCCAGAAGACAAAAAGGTTTCTCCGTTGCACTTTCTGTCTGCATCTTTTCTTACAGACCGCCTTTACTTAGTGTGACTCTGTGGATATGACCTTTGACCTCTGAGCAGCGGGCTGCAGCTCTTGTCTCTTGTCGCAGTTTTGTCTCTGCAGGAAGTGAAAGGAGATTTTTTTTTTTTTTTATGAGAAGTGTCTACAGCTCTGTCTGCTGCTGTTCATCCCTCAGTCATGTGACCTCAGTCATGTGACCTCGGACTTAGAGAGCTCTGTTTGACTCCATGTTCATATTTATGTTTTTAAACATGCAGATTTTGGTTACACTGAACTCTCATTCATCACTGTTACAGAGTCAGTGTTTAATAACTGTGTTTCACGTCTTTACAGGCTTTTAAAAGAAATGATTTTACAGTCAGGTCCAGTTAGGTTTCTTTAAGTCAGTTGACTGTGTTTGGCAGATGTTTGTTTTGGTTTACTCTGTGGCTGCACAGTGAATGGAATGGCAAATGATATGAATGGCTCTTCTAGAGGAGCCATTCACATCATTTGGGTCACCAAAGAGGAACTCTTATCTAATCGCATCTTTACTCATTTCAGCGACTGTCTTTTTAAGAGACTTAAAATTACTTAAGAACCCAATATTGTAGAACTCAAAATTCCAGACCCCAACATTCCAAACCCAACATTCAAAAACCCAACATTCAAGAACCCAATATTCAAGAGCCCAACATTCTAAACCCAACATTCTAAACCTAATATTCAAGAACCCAAAATTCCAGACCCCAACATTCTAGACTTCCACATTCCACAACTAAACATTGTAGAACCCCAAATTCCAGAGCCCAACATTCTAGTACCCAAAATTTCAAAACCCAACATTCTAGAACCCAACATTGTAGAACCCTACATTCTGGATCAAAGCATTCCAGTATCAAGCATTTCAGAATGGGGATTCAAGAACCAAGCATTCCGTAAGCCTCCTTCATTGTTGCAATGCTAAAAGTTGTGTTTCTCTTCTTAAAATTATTAATTTTCCCTCAAGGAGACTGACCAATCAGAGCTGTCCTGGTGTGCTGTTCAGAACAGCTTAAAGTCCCCTCCTTAAATGGATTAATCCATCACAGCTTTACCTGAAACCCCAGACTACATTTAATGTGGCTGTCGAAGACTTTACCCTTACATTCGTTTATAAAAACGAAAAAAGGCTTAATGCTACCTCTTTAAGGTGACTTTTTAATACCACACTGTGAAATACTTCACCTTCCTCAGTCATTTAACCGTCCAATCACACGAACTGAGTCAAAGTTCTAATAAAATTGAATGTTTTATTTGAAAAATATTTCGTTAAAAATATTAGGGCAGACTTTTTTGTCTCAGTTGAGCTCTGACAACAACACAACCTTAACACTAAACCAAAAACTCCCTGAACATGAAGGTTAGTGATTAATTATTAGTCACATTTTTAGGCTTTTCTCCACATTTTTAAATATTTTCTGCTAAAACTTTAATTTTAAAACATAGAAAGCCCAGATTTGTGTTACTTCTTTCTACCTTAATTTGCAGAGAGTTATGTAACTTTGAGCCTTCAATAGCAGTAATCTTTCTCATTAAGGTCGTTTTTAGACCCCTTGGTTTTTTTTGGGAGGGGGTTGGGACTCTTACTCTAAAGACGCTGTCATGCACAAGGCAAAAATCAGTTCAGAAACGTTTAAACTCAGAGTTGAAGCTGCTGGTGGGTCATTGAAAAGCAGTAAGGTTTTCTCTTTGTCGATGGAAAAAATAATCAGGATAAAGTTTCAGTCTGTGAAACCCTTCAGAGCCTCAGTGTCTGAGCTGGAGTCCAGAGCCACAAACCTGAACCGCCTCTTAATAATACAGGAGCTGAAACTGATCTGAGACCAGCAGACAGCTGCTTCATTTCGGAATTTAGACCCTTTTTTACTCCCTCCACCAGAGACAGCGCCGTGCAGCTCCATTTATTTATTAGAAGATAAAAATGAATTTGCATCAGAAAGACTCTGTATTTCAAAACCTCCACATGAATCCTCTCCGATCACCGTTTGCTGTGAAAGTTTGAGGCATGAGTCAGCAGGTGTTTAGAGGACTTCAGGAATCAGTTTATCTTTTCATAAAACCACAAAGTGTGTTTTTTAAGTTAACCCTTTGTTTGACCATATGATTATTGAAGCTTATCAGATCAGAGAGCTTCTGCATGCTGAGTAGAGGAGTTTTTATCCAGCTGAGTAAAAGTCAGGCAGAGAGCATGTTTATAACAGGAACTTAAACTCACAAACTTTACACATTCCATATTAATTAACAGTGGAGACAGATATTAAGAACGTCTACTAAAAAACTTTTAAAGACATGGGTTTCTTATCTGACAACTTTGTACACAGAAAGGTCTCAAAAGAGGTGAAAGTTTAGTTTACAACTTACAAAAGTACCCAGAAGTTTTAGACAATTTCTTATCGATGGCAGAAACACCAATATGATAACAGACACAGGAGCGTTTTAACTGAACATACTACATTAAAACAAGAACAAAGAACAACACATTTCAGCACTTATCTAAAATCACGTCTTTCTCATTCACATGCAGTCAAGGATAAGAAATGTTCCTCTTCTTCTGGAACTTTTTGGTTGGAAGGATGTTGTTTCTGGACCGTGGCACAGTTCTGGTCCCTGTCTGTAAAGGTTCCCAGTCCTTTAGGGAGAGCCTCTGCAGTGTGAACGTGTCTTAACTGAGAAACATTTGAATTGTTGTGCATGAACGCTGACTGCAGTGAGGCCTGACTCTGCTTGTTTGGAAGGAAGTCACCTTGAATATTAATTCTATATATCATTGTCAGTGACCTGTGACAGCTGGCTGTAACAAACGAGGGTTTGATTGAACAGATGGGAGAGACGGTGCATACTGATGGTCAACACAGATTTTTTAAAAAGTGCTTCTTTCACAATCTGAAACTCCTCAGAGTCTGAGGAATGCAGACCTGGACCTGTTTGTTTAAATCGGAATTACGATCAGTTACAACCTGCTGACATACAACATAACATTCGTCACCTGTCTATTTTTCTGTGAGGGTCATGTGACCACAGACAGACAGGTTTGTACACACCTGGGGTCTAAAACTTCTCACTCTGAGAAATGTGCATGTGTAAGCTTGCTGCGAGCGTCTGACTGGTTTTTCTAGGTTTTTCCTTTTTATTCACGACTGCATGTTTACTCAGCAGAGGGGGGGAGATGAAAAGTGAGGGAGGGTTTTCAAACAGCTCAGACACAAACAGAGTCCTTCTCTAAAATAGCAGTCTGTTTCAAACCAAGCATTTATGAAACTTTAATAAAGCTCTAAGATGATCTTTTTCATTTTAAAACAGGCCCCTATTAAATAAGAGGAGTTGAACTTTTGCCCTGAGGCCCTGCTCTGTCAGTGACTCAGACTGTGGGACACCAGCGGTGAGACTTGGTTAACTTGGTCTATTGGAATGAAACCTCTACGGAAGCCACTCATGGCCCAAACAGCCATGCCAGGCCCTGCAGATGAACTAAACCCAAATTCCATTAACCGTAAAATCTTTTTACTTAATTCTAAAAATAGTTCATGAAACCGAAATTTATTAACGAAAAATTAAAAAATCAGAAAAATTCAAACAATTTTAAAAAACTAGTTCACCAAACATGTAAACAAATGCAAAAACTTTTAAAGAATGTTTGAAATTTTTGCCAACAAAGTATGAAATATTTAAGCATTTATTTTTTTTTTTTTTGTCTGTCTATGAAGATTTTGGTCTATGGTTTTGGTCCATGTTTTTATACAAAAAGTTTGGCTTTGGCAAAATATTTTAGTGTTTCATTAAATGTTTTTTAAGTTCCCTGAAAATTCTTTTAAAGGTATTTTTGCAATTCATGATAAATTTTATAAAATATTAATGTGATTAGTGAAGTACACTGGTATTTAATCAAGTATTTGTTCATTTTTGAAATACTTAAGTGTCAATCCAATCAGGACCACTGCTGAGAAGAGAGACAAAGTGACATTTTCAGAAGCTGAAACATCTCTTGACACTTTAACATTTAATCGACTGAAACATTTGATCAATTGTCAATAAACTTCTCAAATAATCCTCTTTGGGTTGGAATGATCCAGCCTTGTTATAGCTGTCAAGACAGCTGAGTTATACGGTACAACATGAAAGTCCAGTCAGAGCTCCTGGTGTTGCTGATGCTTGTTCTGAGTCTAAACTTGTGATTGTTGCAACAGAGTGAGTACGGAAGCTGCTCAGCTGTGAGTTGAACATAAATAGATGATTCTGAGGTTATTGATTCTCACTGGTGAAGTTTTGTGGGAGCGGTGGGCAGCCGTCTTGAAGTCCCTCTTTTAGCTCGTACAGGAAGCTCATGATAGCTCCTGGCGAGCTGCTGAAAGACTGAACAGACAGAGGAGTCAGAGCTCCTCTCTAGTCTGCTGTGGTTTTTACACTGCTGACTCTCACCACATCTTTCCTGTGACAACCATAAAAAACAGAGCAACTCTTCAGCCTGCAGTCTGGTCATGTGGTGACAGTGTTTACAGAGAATCGTCTGAGGTGGAGAGGCTGGTGATAGCACAGATATGCTGTCTCCATAGTGATTCACTTTGAATGAGTGTGCAGTATTGTTGCTGGCAGAATATCTGTGTTCATTACAGATCGCTCAGATTTGTTTTGCATTTGCTTGAAAAACTGTAAGAAGGAAGCTAATGCAAAGATACTGTTAACCTGCTTTCAAACACATATCAACAGCGCCACCTGCTGTAAAAGCAGTCCCATTGTAAAGCAGTTGATAAGAAGATAGTCTTACTTCTCAGTGGATTTAACATTTATCTAATGAGTTTGTGGTCTCAGTCTCTGGTGTACAGTTTTCTTCGATACAGCATGATGTTCAGTTCAGTCAGGACCACTTTTGTGTTTATTATCTGCATGCATAAACTTAAATGCAGTGATATGGCTTTGTTCTGAGGGCATTACACATGTGTATGTCGAATGCCAAAGCCTGAGGCAGGGAGAGCAGCAGCAAAGACCCCCCAGGGTAGAGCTCCCTGCGTCTCCATAAGCGCAAGTCCAATGCCAAGCCAGAGGCAGATAGATCACACCTCCCCTCTGTTTTATGTGCGTACATGACAAGCCAAGGCAGGCAGAGCAGCAGCAAAGACCAAGGTGGATTGCAGAGCGGTTTGCAGAGGTAGCAGGAAGAGTCAGCAGGCAAAGGAGTGTAATGACTGTCAGCTGACATTAAGATCAGCTTGACTTTATAACTTGCCTGAACCATCTCTGCTGGGTCTTGTTAGTTATGGTCCTATTAGGAGCTGGGATGATAGCTATGATTGACAAGTCACTTTTATGGTGACAAAATCCTGATTTGGACAACCTTCTATGATCATCTCTTTTTCCAAGATGGCAGCTGCCAGGGCAAACTTGAGGTTCCAAAATGGTGTCTATGACCCACAAAGTGGTGTTACAGTGTCTACCTCCTATATAAGGTCTACAGTTACCTCTGCTCAGCTTGGTTTGGGTATTTAAGTTTGTAGGAGGTCTATTGGAGCCTCAGTTTGCATCGATATACAGTATATACAGTCTGCTCGGTTTCTTCAGGTTCAGTTTGGGAACAAAGTTCTGTAAACAGCTCTTCATGATTTGAAGAGCTCTCATTGTAGCTCCGTAAAACATTGAACTCTTGACTGACTGATGTGTAGAGTCCCAAACAAAGAGTTCTTACACAGACCAGCAGAGTGTGCCCAGTGTGAATAGTTTCCCCTTACAGTAGTCGGCCTGTCGGGGGGGATAGGGTGTACAGCATTGTGTTTGGATGGCTGCTTCCTCTGTTTCCTCTGATGAAAGGGGGACTGTTCACTGACTCTAAGAGACGCTAAGTCAAAGGGAGAACGATAGAGACCTAACAAAGTTTTAGAATGAAAGTGACAAACCTGTGTTCACACATGGTCTCTTTTTTTCCAGGCAAACATTATAATGTAATGATGATGTGGTTCAGAGTGATGAAACTGGCTTAAAGGTGACAGTCCCAGACCATGGAGAGGTCAGACAGGAACTTCACCTGAAAGATTAAAACTTAATCTTTGTAGTTCCCGTGCCTAAACACAACTCAACACTTTGTTTTCCTTTGACCTTTTTGACCAACCTTGAAAAACAGCTGATGAGGGGTACCTTAACATGGACCTAACCTCCCGTAGAAAGCCCAGAAACAGACCTTGAAACATCCACTGAAGGGTTTGCTTAAATGAACCGAGCAACATTTTTGAAGATGCAGAAAACTTACATTATGAGTGCTGGTTCAGGGTACCTAAACACAGGAGCTCACAGACTCAAAGGTATTGCTATATTAAGGGTACCTTCAAACATGGAATTGGTATCCCCAAACAGCTGCCCCAGAGTAACTCAAAACACACCATGTAGTATGTTACAACACAAAGTCTTGTTTGGGGTACCTAAAAAAGATAGATGAGGGTACACAAACTCCAAGCCTGCACCTTTTAAGGCCTATGCATGGTTCTCAAAACAAACACAACAACACTATGAAAAATTAAGGTAATAGACAGTGCAACCATTGCTTCAGGGTACTAAACACAGACCTGCGGATAAGTACCTCAAAACAGACATGAAACTGAAAACTTAAAAAAAATCATCATGAGTAAATGAGGAAGGAAACTTCTCCAAAAACTGCTTCAGTGTTTTTACTACTATTTAAATGCCCCTCAAGGGTACCTAGAAACATACAGAACTTAATACCTGGAGTTCTCCAGACCTGACTTTGTAGTATGTTAAAACTTTTTATTTAAAATGCTTCAGAGCTGCTGACGGGTACCTCGCGACAGCTGCTTTAGGCTTCCTTAAAAGAGACACATAAGGGTACCTAAAAACAGATGAACTGTACCTCAGAAAGCCTCTGAAGGGTATCATCAGAATCTACTAAAGGGTACTGAAACAGACACCCAAGATCCACAAAGGGATGGAACAGACCTCAAAACACCTGCTAACTTGAAATAAGGTTTAAAGGTACTTAAAGACACATCTGAGTACTTGTAACACTATCAGTTTTATGCCACCAACATCTCTATCAGAGAACAGAACATGTGAAACTCTGACCGACTGTGCTTTCATTACTGACCAAGTTAAATCAGAAAACTGTCAACAATAAGAAACATCTGTACAGAAATGTTGTTTTTTTCCACAACAGATACATAAAAAAAACTGTATAACTGACACTTAACTGATGTCCGGGTAACCAAAGAAGAAACACTGATAGAAAAACAGCTGCAGTCATGACCATTCATTTAAGGCCTTATTGGATGCAGTCTTGTTATGGAGGGCTGAGTGTATTTAATTTTGCTAAATGTCACTTTACATACTGTATTAATTATATCAGCCCACTCATTCAGTCAGTGTTGAATACCATTCAGTTAGGGCTGGTCTAGGATTCAGCATTATTGATTAAACTCTAGTGTAAGGCTTTTGGTTTATGTTCAAATTTTTAAAACAAAATATGATTTTGAAGATCATGTAAAGTATTAAAAACATTGTAAAACATTTAATTATTTTCAGTGAATCGCAATATGTATGGATGATAACACAATTCAGGTTTCAGTCATGCCATCCAATACCCCAAACATAAGTATCAGTGTTTCTGAATGAAGGTGGGTTAGACTTGAATAACAGAAATGTGGTACTTTCTGATCAGCTGTTTAGTGACATAATTATATCAGGAGAAAAAGGACAAAAAAGAACATTCAAAAGTATCTGTTTTTAACATTTAAAATGTGAACAATTCTGCAATATATGTGGTATTTGAATATTTCATGTGAAATATTTGGGAAAGAAAGTTTTCTCTTAAGAATAACATGTGAATCCAACTAAAAATCTCCTGGACATTTGCTGCAGAACATCCAAGAACAAGATATTTTTCCTCACAAGTGGATTTTTTATATTTCTTATATTTCACATGTGAAACCATTTGAATTGTAAATTTTTTTAAATATTTTACATTAAAGATTTGTTGTTTTTTGGGTGCATCAACAAACTATTCAAGGGCGCACCTATCAAACAGCTGAAATGTGAATGAATAATTGGTACGTGTGGATTTCATATTTCACATGTGAAATACTTGAAAGTCAAAAAAGGTTCCACTTTATCATGATGGATCATGATTTGAACAATGAGCCTGTAAACATTTGTTTCCCAATGTTGCACAGGTGAAATTTCATTTTTTGTACATTTCACATGTGCCACAGCAAGAGATTTCTTTGAATTTTACATGTCCAAGAATTAAAATGATAAGAGATGTGGATCACATAATAGTTCAAAGATATGTTATTTTCTAGTGGCACATGTGTCAGACAATTGACCAGGAGATGTGTTTGTCATATGTGGCACATGTGAAATACCTGAATTTTAAAAAAATTTGAACATACCACAGGATGTATTGAACAGTACATGATCTGAACAACTGAAATATGAAAGATCCAAGTATAAGTTCTTTACCACTTTTTAACATGTGAAATTTCAATTGTGTTTCATTTCACATGTGATCATTTAAAGGGAGATTTTATTTTGTTTGTTTGTTCTCAACACGTCACATCTGAATGCAAGTGTTTTTTGGTAGTTTCACATGTGAAATAATGGAAGTTATCAGTGATTTCGAAAGTTTTCCATGTGATACATCTAAAGACATACAGTATGTTATTTTTATATATGAAACATTTTAAGACCTCTGTGGTCTTAAAATGATTAATCTGTTAAACATGATTAAAGCAGAAGGAAGTACAGAAGCGTGACATTATCGTTGAACATTGATGTAAAGAAATCATCATTTACCTCAGCTTCACATTTATGTGTTTTTATTTTAACTCAGATAAGTATGGGGCCTTTTATTGGATCTTTAATTCCATCTGTATTTCTTGTTATTCAGATCTGCTGAGTTAGCGTTAAAGACACAGCAGTAACAGTGGCCTGAAAGTGTCTTTAACGTCTTTAAAGTCATTAAAATGTGAGGACGTTGTGGTCCTTTATTTTCTGTTTTTAAGTCCCCAGTCACACAAACAAACTCAGTCTAAATGAAACAGTGTGTTATTTCCTGCCCACTCTCCTCACACACTCACACAGAAATACTGATAGGCTCAGTATGAACTCCTCCAGTGTCTCTAAAACGGTACTGTGACTGTATGTAGCGTGTTCCTCGTGTTCAAGGTTTCATATGTGAACATGTTTGTTGTATCAGGTGCATCTCGTGTCTTCAGCTCTTCATGGGCAGCAGCTCTGCTTCTCAGTGTGACTCACCTTCATCATGCTCATTGTACTCAAACAGCTCCCCTCTGAGCTGCAGGTCATCGCTAAGAGGAGAAACCTGATGGATCTGATTTACTCTGAAGCTCTCACAGACTGAGCTGAAAGTCTCAGAGTTCATTCACAGAGCAGCAGAGAGCTCCGGCTTGGATTTTACTTGAAACTGTATTTTTGTTGAATTTGTAGTGAATCACACTGACTGTGTGGACCCTTCAGTTTTTTTCTTGTACTGAATAAAGAGCAACAGTTCTTAAACTTCACCACCTCGTCTGCTTGTTTTTAGAGTTTTTTAAATACAGTTTAAAGAATTATATTTGACAGCATCAACGACTTTAAGTCAAATTTGCTAGAGTTATGTTTAAACATTTCAAAAGATTCAAAGATCTGAATCAGTGGGGCTCTTAGACTAGACTAAGTATTTTCGTTTCTTCTGTCTTACCAAGACGTCTAGACACTCAATAATCTAAGAATTATTTAAAAATATATTAACCACTTATTTAAAAATGAGATTACAAAGAGGAGAAAGCACATGTTAAATAACACTGAATCTTGTTAAAATTTCACCTGAATTATGTTTTTAAAGGAAATATACAGTAGATGGGCATCATGTCACAATTAATTTGACCAAATTCAAAAGTTAAATGAAAAATATTTTTTAGGGTTCCAAAAACAAAAAATGTATAAATAATAAATATATGCTCAATAAAAATAAATGTTAAAATACTAAGAAATCAAATTAGAGTGTCCCTACATTTACCCTCATCAAATTTATACACAAACTGGGGAAAATCATCCACTGGTGAAAATTGACTTTGGTGTTATCACAGAGAAAGTGAAAAATTCTTTAATTTAGGAAGCAGAACTAGAAAATTGATAATACTTTCATTCTTCAAATCAAAGTAACATAATTAGATCAATACGAAGGCAGATTTCTGTTTCTTAAACACATTTCTTAATTTGTGCCTTAAAGCAGGTCTAGTTCCCAGTAAATAACTTATGGGTCTGTTTTTATTAATATCTTTCCTCTCTCTATTTTTTTAATCTGCTTTTTAAAATACCTTTGTGTTTTTCTCTGTCACAGTCTGTTTTCTGACTCTGTGCAGTCATGTTGCTGCTGTTAATAAAACCACTTAAATAAACTACACAGCTCAGGAGAGAAGAAGCTGCTGCAGACACTTTTCATCATCCTCATTTTTAATTCATCACGTTTATGCTTTTACCAAATCTCAGAGGAAAACATGACCGAGCTCAGAGCCAATTATTTTTTGATGCATGTCGTCTTATTTGTACCAGGGTGTAAATATAGATCATGGAGTGTCCTGGGAGGATAACGCTGAGTTTGTTTTCAAAGAGACAAAACAGGTGTTTTATCTCCTCTGCTCTTGTGCTACTTTATGGGCTGGGTAGACAAACTGCTCTTAAAGGTAGAGTGCACAAATGTTAATATTTAGTATTATCTAGCAGCTAGGTTCTAGGTTGAAATGTTCCATTGCTCATCCCTCCTGCCAATGGAGTGATGGTGGCCTTTTGAGAACAAGAAGCTCCTACTGCATGATAAGTCTAAACTTGATTTTTTAACTTTTTACAGTCAAAAATCTCTTAATCTTTGTAATCCAACCTGTGCATTTTACTCAACTACTCAGCAAAGACAAAACAGGTATGTTACTTGTTTGTCCACTCTGATATACAGTAGAAACATGGTGACCACTGTGAAAGGGGACCTAGTAGATATAAAAGACTCACTCAAAGCAATAACAAAAATATTGTATTTATATGTAATTATTCATAAATTCAAACATTGGCAATAAATTGAGTCAGTCCACTTATCAGTGAACACCTTTAAAACTGTTATTGAAGAAATAACTCCTTTAAGAAGTCACAAGGAACAAGTTAATGAGAAATACATGAACTATATTTGTTTTAGTAATTTATGTTGATCAAGAGTAACAAAAAAATTACAGTTTGTGTGGATATTCAGCTCAAAAACACAATTTTTAAAACATGTTTACAGCAGCAAATTTTATACAGAAAAATTCACAATCAGTGACCCAAAAACAAAAGGAACATTTATTTTGATAAAGCAGCTCATGGTTGCTTTAAAGTAACTTTAATGGTGCCATAATAACGAAAAAAATGTACAAAAGTTGATTTTTGTCCCAAGTAAAACCGAGATGTAGCTCCGTGTTCTTGTTTCCGTGGATTGATTAGTACTGTCTGAAGATAATCTATGAATCGATTGGCCGTCCTGTTGTTTGTATTGCTAACGGAAGAGTAGGGGTGATGATGGCTAATTTTGGCTCAAACGGAGCCCTAATGATGTTTCCTGAAAAAGTGTTATTATTAAAGTGTTTTAGTTAGCTCGTCCTGGATCTCACAGACAGATATCCGGGTTTTTCTCTGTTTACAGTCGCTCTCCTCGCTGTGTTTACCCTGCTGCAGATGCTAATATCAGTATCATGTCATAATAATGGAGTCTCACTGTGATTACTTCATTTATTTCCCCGCTGCTCCGGTACCGGGTCTCTCTCAGCTGTCAGAGATTAGGTCACTCCCGCGGCGTAAACAGGTCTACCTGGGGGAGACGGTCCAGGTGCTGCTGGTCCTAAAGTTCCGGGAGGACAGCTCCGGGTCCTGGAGGCACCTGGCGAGGTCTTTGGCCGCCGTGGGGAGCGTGTGTGCCGCAGAAACCCGACAGTGGAGACTTGGGGAGGATGAACCGGAGATCCAGACCTCCAGCTGCAGCGAGGATGAGGAGGAAGAGGAACCCGGAGACAGGGGGGATGGGACCCGGACCTTCATTGACTGCCGCCCGCTCCTCATGCACAGCAACCTGGCCAGAGAGAGGCGAAAGGCCGGGGGGGAACCGGTCGAGGTGAGAGGGGTGATGGGGGCTGTAGGGAGTCAGATAACTCACGATAAGATACAATGTGACTGAGTGATTTAATCTTAATCTTTCCTTCTATTCCCTTTCCTTTCCTTTCCTTTCCTTTCCTTTCCTTTCCTTTCCTTTCCTTTCCTTACTTCTTAGTTCCTGTCCTTTCTTTTCCTTCCCTTTCCTTTCCTTACCTCTTCTTTCCTTTCCTTTCCTCTTCTTTCCTTTCCTTACCTCTTCTTTCTTTCCTTTTCTTACCTCTTCTTTCCTTTCCTTTACTTTCTTTACCTCTTCTTTCTTTTCCTTTCCTTGTCTTACCTCTTTTTCCCTTTCTTTTCCTTTCCTCTTCACCCCCTTTCTCTCCTTACCTTCCTTTCCTTTACTTTCCTTTCCTGCACTCTACTGTACTCTACTCTACTGTACTCTACTTTACTGTAGTTCCCCTTTTCAGAGGGGAACTGCTTTAAGCGCTGCCAGAAATAGACGCAGAGGCCAGGGGGAGCACATTTGTGTGTTAGTAAAGCAGAGGGGTGTATGAGGAGAAATGCTGATATTCTGGGCAGGCCTCAGCAAACAGGAGAGGAGAAACTTTTTTTTATTGTTTCAATTTGGTTTTTACATTTTGAAGTGTGTAGAATGGTTTAGTTAAATAAATGTGATGCAGACTCAAATTAGCAGGAAATGGTGTTTATGAATCAAGATTTCAAAACCACTGAAGATATTCCTGCTGAAACTTAGTTTGTTTGTAAAAAGAGGAAATAGAATGTATTCTCTCTGCCCGACTGCATCTATTTATAACGTGTTCTTCTGTTGTTTTAAGTGTTCTGCAGCTCTCTAATACCATGTGATTAATTTGTATTGCTGCTGCCTTAGATCTTAATGACACCACCAAATAACAAAACTGAGTCTGTAGACTGCTGCAGTCCGCATCCAGTGGTTGTATGTCAATTCTTGCCCCTGAAAAGAGAACATTATAAAAATGAACAATGTCAAATTATGATTTTTTTCTGAAATATTTAAAAATCACAGAATCTTTATCAACCCTGATTTTCCCCCGACTGCATCTCTAAAAACACACACAAACACACACACTCAGTCCAACATGAGAGACCAAAAGTGAAGATCCTCGAAAATCCAGCAAAACGCGGGTTTCGAAAAGTTAGAAAATCCACAGATTCAGCTGATATGGAAGAAGAGTGAGGTTCATCTCAGAGTTCAGGAGCCAAAATAGAAGATGGACAGTCACCTGGAGTTTTAAGTTTTTGAAATGGTGGCACCAAAAGATTGTGGTCGGATGGTCTGAGAGGCTGTTACATACAGAAAGCAGAGGTAGAGCCTGCTGTTGCACCGGCCACACTGAAGTCCTAAACTATGATTTGTTTTTTACCCTGTCAGGAGCAGAAGTTTTCTTGAAATCAGCTGTTTGGTTTGTAATTAAGAAGCTGCTTCTTTGCATTTCAGTGTAGAAAATTCTCATACGTTGATTCTATAAATGTTGACTTTTGACTTACACCTCCCTTTTACAGAGGAAAAGAATTGATTTGCAGCATCTTCTCTCTCCTCTCAGTTGTGTTTCCTTTGAAAGTGAAACAATTTTTCATTTCGTTTTATTCCAAAACTCTAGTATAAGTATATATACAAGGATAAAACATTTATAGGAATATCTTGTGTAAGAAGTTGAAATAGATGTAATTAGTGGCGATAGTCCTCCTTAATAAAGGGTCAGCTCCTAATCTTTATACACATGGTCCCCCCAGTCTAAAGTGTCTGCCTCCCTCCTGGTTGTGAGGGGTCCAGCGACTTTGAGACATTAAAGTGCTGAACCATCACCAGTCAGTGTAGTGAGGCTGATGTTGGACTGATATGAAACCTGTGATGAGTCCTTATTGAGACTTTTTGTGCAGTTTGAAGGCGTGTCAGAGTGAACTGATGTTGGCAGGTTGGAGGAGATTGTGAAAGTCAAGTTGGGAGAAGATTAATGTATGAATGTGAAGTCCAAAGTTGATGACAGTTATTAAAAAAAAAACAAAAAAACAATGAAATAGGAATAGTTTTGTTGTTTGTGAGGGTTTGACTTCTCCTTTAAAGCCTTTATTTGCTTTTTGCTGAATCTGCTCTAACACAGTTTCTGCTGAAGGAGAGGTTTATCTTCACACTCTCTGTCACAGCTGCATATTTATAGAGTCAGAGGAAACCTCTAAATACCAGACCGGAGACCAACCCACTCATCATCACTTATTTATCTGTCTCTCTGATACAAACACCGTCAGATTTTACTCTGCCTGTTGCACCATCTCCGAGTTCTGGATAAGTTCAGACTTGACAGAATATTCACAGGGAGGAGGTCCACAGGCGTCTGCAGGTTTCAAGACACAGCCTATGAAAGTGCAACCACATGGGGTTGCCGAGGGGACAAAGTTAGACTGCTTCAAGCAAAACTGTGCCGATACATGAAGTGAACTATTACGTTAATCCTTCAGGGGCCAACAGCCAAGTCTTTTGTTATATGCAAATCTGCAAGAAGGGCCGCCTTATATGACGATATTTCTAAAACTTGAAGACTGATTTTGCTCGAAGCCCCACCAGCTCAGAGAAGTTCATTTAAACTAGTGGTTCTCAAGTCCAGTCCTCGAGGCCCACTGTCCCTCATATTTTGGATGTTTCCCTGCTCCAACACACCTGATTCAAATGATCAGCTCGTTATTAAGCCATTACAGAGCTTGATAACGAGCTGATCATTTGAATCAGGTGTGTTGGAGCAGGGAAACATCCAAAACATGCAGGACAATGGGCCTCGAGGACTGGACTTGAGAACCACTGCTCCAAAGTGTTAAATAATTTTCTTTGCATTAATGTTTGAGGAGTAGAAAGACTTAAAAACAAACAAATATGAAAGGCTTGAACTGAAATAAGACCACACGTCCTGACACATAGAATATTATAAAACATCAAAGTCAGGCATTGAGCAAAAATGATAAAACTGAGAAGAGCTCACTTCTTACACAAGGATGTATTAGCTGCTTTTTGTGTTTGTATTGAGGTGTAATTGTAAACTGAAGATCCTTTTTGTTTCTGACAGCTTAAAAAGACTCGACTGAAGCTCCTTTTTCCTGATCTTTGTCATTTTTTAGACTCAATAGTAATAAAAACATGCAAATAAACGGATACTAACTTGAGCTCTTTCCTATTTTTAACCAAATGAAGCTCTTTAACTTATCCTTTGTGTCGTCCTGCAGTCTCCTCTGGTGTTGGACGATCAGGTCGTCTTCTGTCTCACCGTCTCTTTGGACAAACTTCCTGTCAACACGATCAAAGCGAAGGTCAGACACACTTGCACAGACTGTGATAAATGAATCAGTCTTATGTTCAGTCAATGTTCTGGGCTTTATTCAATGTGGTGTGCTTTAATTGTAACTCACTCAGTGTGTCGCCTCACTTGATTGTTTGTTTTGCTTATTTTATGGTCTGATTTTTAAATATTTGATGAGTGCTGCTTCATGTTCGTGCTGCTGCTGCATGCTTCATGTAGTTTATTTCTGTGACTAAACACCAGCTCGCTCTACATATTTCATGTCTGCTGCTCTTTACTGCTGCTATTGCTCCTTATTTTTTAACCTTGCTATTATGTTTATTTGAAACACCCCTTTAATAAAGCTGGTTATGAACGTCAGGTGGTGGTGACGGTGTGGAATCAGGATGAGGAGGAGGCTGAGGTGAGAGAGCATGGATACCTGACCCTGCTGCAGCTCAAGAGCCCGACACACACCTTCAGACAGGACCAGAGCTCTTTCAAGTCTCAGGGTGGGACACACACACACATCAAACACACACTTTGTCTCTCTCTGCTTTTACACGACCCCTTTAACAACAATGATGAGTAAAATGATGTGGTTTGTCTTATTCACAGTCAGCACCTTCCTGAAAGTTCTTCCTCCTCCCAGCGTTCAGTGTCAGCAGATGACCGTCTCTGGAAAACACCTCACCGTCCTCAAAGGTCCTCCAGAAACTCACAAACACTGATACACACACACACACATAGCTTTTAAAAACACTCTTTACTGACTTTATTTCTGCTACAAACAACCATTTCTACTGGGAGCCTCAACTCTGAAATGCAAAGCGGTTTTATTTGTTAGAAACCAGAAAGTAAGAGTTTGTCAGCAGTTGTTTTCGTTCAGTGTCTGAAGGTGAAAAACATCAGAGCAGATCTGATGCTGGGAACAAACACGTCAAACTTTCTGAGTTTAAAACCAGGTCTGTTTTTGTAGTTGTGTGGCTCTTAGATATCATTTCTTCACAGCTGAACTCTTTGACTGTTTTTCCTCTTCAGTGTTGAACAGCAGCTCTCAGGAGGAGCTGTGTCTCAGAGATATGAAGATTCTTCCAAACTACAACTCGTCCTACCTCCCAATGATGCCCGACGGTTCGGTCCTAGTTGTCGACAATGTCTGGTGAGAACACAAACATGATCTTTTCTAATTTGCAACATATTTTTAGTAAGATTTGGATTTCATTTTCATTGGCCAAATGAACTAAGTTTAAATGTCTTTGCTTCCACTTCCCGCTGCAGCCACCAGTCCTCCGAGGTCTCCATGGCTTCATTCTGCAGGATCGACAGCGAGTCATCACGTTTACCCAGCATGCTCAGCGCCCTGGAGGAGCAGAACTTTCTGTTTCAGCTGCAGCTACAAAACACAGAGGAGGAAGACTCCAGTGAGGTGAGGGGATGTGATGAAGGGCACGTATGCATCCTGAATTTCCAGAGTCAGCTCAAGTGTTGCAGGTTTTTTGAAATGTCACTAAAGGTCAGGGTGAAGCTCAAAGTTGTGTGGTAACACTTTCATGGTTTTTGACACAAACTGCAGATTACTTTTGATTTGTCAGCTGAGTCGTCGGGGAGATTTCGAGAATGAAGTGTGTCGTTCAGAAGCACAGAGGTGTTTTTTTCACGTCCATCACTGTAGCAGCATAAAACAGTCACAGTCACGCTGCAGCTGCACGACTCTTTCCATTTTTATGATTCATGTGTGAAAAATGTTTTCGAGTTTCTCCTGCAGTTGAAGTGCATACTCTGTTATTTTTGTGTCTGAGAGTTTATACTCTGTGTTTTAGTGGCCTTTATTTTCCATTATTTCAAACAGGATGATGCACTTTCACACAGTGCTTCATGTTATGTAACAAGATTAACAACCACACACTGTGAAGAGATAGAAACTACAGTTTTGAGCTGCTGTTCGTTTTAGATAGATTCAAACACGGCTGTGTCTGTCTTCTCAGGCTGGGACTGATGGTGTTAAAACCTCACTGATGCAGTTTTAAGATTGATCTTAATGTTCCTCCTCAGGGTTTGGAGGTCCCGTTGGTGGCCGTGTTACAGTGGTACACTCCGACATTACCGTACACGAGGTAAGTTAAAATGTCATGTAAGGCACATTTTGTTATTCCACCCATTTAAAAATATAGAGACAGACAGTACTATTTTTAAAATAGATATTAATTTATCAGTCTGTCAAATGTTTCTCTCAGTGCCATAGTTTTACCAAAACTGGTACTAAGAGCAAGTCAAACAAATGATCCAGAAAGAGGACCAACTAAACAGAAAACCACTAACTAACTAACTAACTAACTAACTAACTAACTAGCAAAATAACTAACAAAATAACTAGCTGACTAGCGAACTAACAAACGCACTAACTAACCACCCAACTAACTAACTAACTAACTAACCAACTACCTAGCGAACTAACTAACAAACTCACCAATGAACAAACTTACTAAGTAACTTACTAGCAACCCAACTAACACACTAAGTAACTAACTAGCAAACTAATTAACAAAAGCACTAACTAACAAACATACTAACGAACTCACTAACGAACTAACAAACTAACTAGCAAACTGACTAATGAACTAACTAGCAAACTAATTAACAAACGTACAAACCAACTAACTAACTAACGAAGTAACTTATGAGCAAACTCACACAAACGCATTAAGTAACTAACTAGCAAACCAACTAACAAACCAGTAACTAACTTACTAGCAAACTAAGTAACAAACCCACTAACAAACAAGCTAACTAACTAGCGAACTAACTAACAAATGTACTCACTTACTAGCTAACTAACCTACCTGTCCGCTGTATTTGTCCTTAGTGTTGTCAACAGTTAAACCATACGAGGACCTGACGTACAAATGACCTTCAAAAGCAGGATCCTCAGGGATCATCTCAGTACTCTGAATCATCTCAGTTCTCATCAATAATCTGAACTCTGTTCAAAAGTTGAGCCTGCTGTTTGATCCGTTAAATTAGGAAACATACTTGATAACCAGCTAACACGGGGTCACTGACAGCTACACAGTTTAGTTCACAGATTAAAAATCCAAAGAGACCCCACTATGGGCCCCCGAAGTGTAGATCTGGTCTCAGTTATTGATACATTTGGTTTTAAGAGTCTTGTATCAGGACTATGATATCCTGACCAGTCTGGACCAACTTTATCCTCCCCGCTGCAGGACTGAGACGTTTTTTCAAATGGGCTGGTTTTTGAGATTCATCTGATCCTTTGCTGGATTAATTGTTTTGAGCTTCATGTGAGGTAGATTTAGCTTCCAGAGGGGCTGAAGGTGTTTTAATCCCTAAAAACTTTCATAAATCTGGATCCCATCCAGCAGGAAATTAATCTGTCAGAGCTGATAACAGTCGGCTATGAGAAGAAAGAATTTCAGACTACAGGTACAGGACAGGTACAGGATTTCAGTGTCAGATCTGGATCTGAATCATCCTCCATATTCTGGTGTATCAGACACACACAGGAGTGACCTCTGCGTCTGCTTTAGAGCTGTCACTATAAACCAGTATTGATGATCACTGTCTCTTCACAGAGCTGAAATACACTAATAACCTTAATAACTATACAGTGATCTCACATCAACACATGGAGACGTATTTGGAGCTACATCCTCAGAGTTTGCATCAACATCCAGCTGAATATCTGAAGCTGTTTACGTGTTTTATATGTATGGATCTTTTGTCCTGGTAGATCAACTGGTTGCAGAGCTGTGATGTTATATTTGCATCATCATGAAACTCAAACACTAAAACAAACTGTGTCAGAGTTTCTCCTGCCACCACAAACCCAAACATTTGCCCTCGAAACTTATCAAGCATCCTTTTAAGACCCAGTTTGCTTTTCTCTTCAGGTTTATCTCCAGTTGTTACTTTTTGCCGAGTATCCACCTTGATCGCCCTCGCCTGGTGATGACTGCGTCCTGTCCTCGAGCGGTCAGGCCTTTGGAGTTCTTCTGGGTTAAATACACCCTGCTCAATGACTTACAGGACTTCCTGTCCGTCCGACTCATCTGGAACGCTGAGGGTGAGGCTCTTGTCAAAAACAAACCTCGTTCAGCTCTCATAGTTTTCAGTGCCATCTCCACACAAATAGACCCACCAAATTTGATTGACACATTGAGTACTTTTTCAGTTTCTGTACAGATGGACTGCAGCTGCTGAACGCACCATGAACCGACACTAAAGCAGGCAGCAGTCACTTTATGTTTGATGTTTTCTGAAATTTGAGAGAGGGAATGATACTGTAGGTAAAAGTCTGCAGAAGCAGGTGGAGTGAGACTAAATCACTGGACTTCTGTGGTGAAATGCATGGACGAATTAGATGTACAGTACAGTTAGTCATGTGGTGTTGTAATCCTAGCATGTGACATGGATAATAACTGGGAGTGCCGGCATTGCTGAGAGTTAAAGTCAGCCGCTCTCATCCAGCTGGAACACTGCGATGACCGGGTCCGAGTCCAGATGTGAAGTTAACAGTGAAATACGCTCCCAAACAATTTTTATAGGAGCCTTTGAGATGTTTGCTGAAGCCTGAGATGATGAAATCCCAAAGAGCAGGAGTGAAATACTTGCAGTTCAGATTTGTGTGTGTGTTGGGACACTTAAAGTTTTTATATTGCTGATATGGGTTTTTGAAACTTTCCTCCTTTTTCTGTACACTGAAAAGAAAAAAACGAGTTTCAGTCAAAGCCAAATTTGAAAATGATGCAAAGACGACATACCACAGGCTGAAATAAGATTCAAACTGCTCCCCTCTGTCCAGCCTTTCAGAGTGTAGGATGTGGTCTCCATGATTTCCAAAGAGTGTCAGATTTTTGATCACAGGACCCCTGAAGATCAGGACCATCCACTCCTGGTTTTGGTCCTTGTCCTTTTTGCACACAGATTCCTTCAGATTCTCTCAATCTGAAATTCACTCTCTCTTTTATAATTGACACTCAGGAACATTATTCTGAAACTGTTGAACTATCAGCTCACGCGGTCTCTCACAGAGTGGTGAACCTCTTCCTATCAGAGTTGAGTCTTATTCTACTTGCCGTCTGTCTTCCATCAGCCCAGAGAGGAAGCCAGCAGGACTCTGGATCGGGGTCTGTGGTGTGTCAGTCTCCTTTAAACTACCTGGGTCGATGTAGGAAAGGCTCCATCCTCTCATTCAGTGTGGCCTTCCAGATCCTCCACACCGGACTCTTTGAGGTACCAAACATCCTCATCCTTGCTTTGTTTGCAGTGAAGTTTAAAAGATCATGGTAGAAGCTGATAACTTCTCTCTCTTAGTTCACCTTTTCTTCTCAATCCAAACTAACGACTTTAAACCTGAACCCAGCTGAGTCAGCACATGAAGCTGAAACTGCAGTTCACCACTCCTCCTGTGGAGTCTCCGTCACCTCTGAAGAACCCTCCATCAGCATCCCAATCTTCATCACCCAGTGCTGCAGTCAGAGACCTGCAGCAGGGACATAGTCTGGGACGGTCTCAGAGTTTCACCCACCAGCGTCCGGTCAGGTCTCAACACGTCAGGTAGGAGGATCAGAGCAGTGCATTCTCTGTCTTCTGTTAAAACCAGGACAAAGGAGTCCAATGTAACTTGTTTTTGACTCGGTCTCTGCTGCTGGTCTCAAGGTCGGGCAGTGTGATGGACCGCCGAGTCGTCACCCCTCCTGTGGGGTCTCCAGCAGGTCGGCCCCTCGCTCCTGAACACGCCCTTATTTCTCTGGAGAAGATCGCGAAGAGAGAGTGTAAAGTGTTGGTACTGGAGCCCGTCCATCACCCACACTGTAGGTAAGAATCAGCTTTAATGTCTGCATCACATGACACATTGACCTTATCGGTCTAAAATAGTTTAAATTCAGATATACGGGATTCAAAGCAAAGATCCAGACCACAATCAATCCAGGCATGAACTCTGCATATGAGACACACTTGGACCTGCATCACCCTGGAGTATGATATAAACTAGGGGTAAACCTGAGTTTAAAACCAGGGCCTGATTGTTCAAAAGGTTTAATCTGGATCAGAGTAATCCAGATTCCAGATCAAGTGCCCCCTTTTTCCATCCTTGACTGTTTAATCCAGATTACTTTTGTCATGAGTTTTTCACAGGATCAACGTGATCCAGACACAGACCTTTAAAGATCAACAAAGCCAGATCGCCAGAGCTCTAAATGAGTCTACAAAGATTTCCCACAGGAGGCGCCAAAGTCCTTATAATGACCTTACATCATCATTAAGTTCAATATATTTAATGTTTGATATTAGAAATTCTGTGTCTAACGTGGAAAGTCTTTATTATCTTAATGTGTCTGTCAGTGTAAAGATTCAACAGTTTAGCAGAAATAGAAATGACAATAACAATAAAGAAGTGTGATTCAGCAAGACCAGTTTAACCCAGACTGATTAAGCTTTTTGACTAGATGAGGAAAATCCTCATATCCTGAATCATAGTTATCAAGGTGCTAAAAACACAAAGTGAAGGTTTGATCTGAATAACAAAAGACTGACTGATCTGATCAGAGTCTATATCTGCTTTTCATTTTGAAACTGATCAGTTCAGTCAGATCACTTCAATGTTTAACAACCAGGCCTTAAATGTTAAACCTGAAACAGCCAAGATAAGTAACTGTTGAAGAAGTTTATCACAGAGTCTGGAGGAGTGTTTTGACTGCAGGAAAGAGGTTGCTTTTTAAATCTTTCTTTCTTTCTTTCTTTCTTTCTTTCTTTCTTTCTTTCTTTCTTTCTTTCTTTCTTTCTTTCTTTCTTTCTTTCTTTCTTTCTTTCTTTCTTTCTTTCTTTCTTTCTTTCTTTCTTCCTAGCGTCCCATCCATGGCCTGAAAAAACGAAGAGCTGGATGAAGAGAAAAGAGGAGAAGAGAGAGAAAAGAGAGAGGGAAAAGGAAGTGAAAGAGTAATGGACTGCAGGGTAAGAATGAGGAAAAACAAAAGTCAGCGTGAACAAGAAGAAGCTGTCATTTCACTGGATTATCAATCTGCTAGATTATTTTTATTTCTATTTTACTTACTGATGAGATTATAATTCTATCAGATTATTGTTGTTCTAATGGTTTACTGTCTCATCAGTTCATCATTTCACAGGACTTTAACTCAGGGTAAAAATAATTAATAATCATAAACCGGTTATTAATGTCACTGCAGCCTGTTTATTATTTGATTAGCATGAAGCTACAAAATTAAAACAGGTCAGTTTAATGTTCCAATATTTATCATCTGGACTTTACCAAAAATAATCACAAAATTTATCATTCAATCATAATATTAAAAAACTGTTCCATTTCCATTAGTCATCTTTTAAATACTAAATACTACAACAATTTGTCAACCAAAATTCTGTTATTTCAAGATTTCTATCATTTTTCATTCCCTTTTATAATCCATAAATTGCACTTTTACATTTCCATATGGTGGTTAGGATGTAAGATGGAATTGTTTGGAATTGTTATGATGAATACAGATCCAAGGTATTTATTTTAGCAAAAAAGTATCATTACACGGGCCCTTGCATAATTTAACATTTCAACCATTGATACAAAAGGTGATCTGTCAGATTATGTGGTTCTCATTTTTTAACATTCCAGTTGTACAACATTCCATAATTTAATGCTGAAAAAAATTCAACTCTCTAGTTAGTTAATATTCCAAAAATTCAACACTCCAGTTGTTAAATGTTCCAATAATTCAGTATTTTAATCTGTTAACATTCTGTAATGAAACATTCCGATAATTTAATGTATCTGATTAATTTGTCACCAATTTCTACTCATTTTCACTGTCTGGACTGTATTTTGACTCGTTAGTCATCCTGCTGGTTTCTTAATTCTCAGGATAATATTCAAGTTTTCAGTTAAATTCACTGAGTCATTCATTTACTGGTTCATCATTTCAGTCATTCATCATTTCACTGCTTTAGTAATTCACTTAATTGAGGAGTCTTGAGATTTTTATTTTCGTGATTTATCATTTAATTTTTTTTGTTTTTGGTTTATCATTTCATGTTATTATCTCTTCATTAGTTTAAATGGTCAGTCATTTCACTGGATTACTATTTTGCTGTTTCATAATTTGACTTGTTTATCATGTTTGAGGGTCATAATCCTGTTGAATCTTATTGTGCTGGTCTGTCATTTCACTGTTTCATATATTTTTCTTTGGATTATCATGTTTTTATTTCTCTGGATTATCATGTTATTATTTTGCTGGATTATCAGTTCACTGTTCCAAATGTTTCTCAGTTTGATATTTCGCTGGATTTATCGTCTCTTATCATTATCATTTTTATTTTATTTCTTTCAAGGGTTTATTTTCTTTTATTGAAGCTCTGTATTTTATTTTAATTCCTGCTGGTTATTTCTTTGCTATTTATAGTTCTTAGAAGTTATTGTCAAGATTATAAAGAAGGTTTTGCTGGCTGCTTTTTGCTTTCATGGCAGCTCTTGTTCTTTTTGGGACAGAATCAGGAAGATAATCCATTTCTTCAATCATGTTTCAATGTTATCGGTAATATGCTGAGTTATTCTTTAAATACGAGGACATGTTTGTTACTCCCGTATGATTTTAAGCTAAAACAGAAATCCTGCCACATGGACCAGCTCAGCTTTCATCGTACTCCACTTTAACTTTTATTTTGAAAGTACCAAGCCTTGATGCTAAACTGGATTTACTGGATTTACTGTGATTTTGAGATATTTGAAGCTATTTTGGGTTTACACTGGATTTAAGATAAACCTCTTTTTAGGCTTGAGATGGTTTACAGTTTTTTACATTTGTCAGGAAAGAGTTTACTTTCTTTGTCCTTTTAAAACTACTGAGTTATTTAAATCCATGTGTCCACTTTGAAGGCTGACATTTGCTGACATGTTTTAATTTATTTTCAATGTTTGGTTATAAACTTTTATTCTTTTCAGAGTCTTAAATTTCCTGAAAAAAAGCACTCCGTGGTCTGACAGAGCAGCAGAGTAACAGGTTTGACAAAGAATGTTGTCCTCTCCAACAGTAGATCAGAGTCTTATGGAGTCCTGCAATTTTTATTGTACAGACCAGAATCAAAGCTAAACCACCGTGCCTAATATAGACCTGATTTAAATCCTTTTTTAATTTCTTCTTCCTGCAGAAAATGTCCAAAAAAGTTTGATTTTAAAACCCTCTGACAGAGAGTGAAGTTTATCAGTGATGCTGCACAGTCAGACAATTTACTGCAAAAATTCCAAAATGAGAAAGTGTTTTTGTTGTATTTCCATTTTCCAAAAAAAATAAAACATTTGTGAGGCTTAAAAAGAAAGAAAAAGGAAAAAAAAAAGACTTTGGAAGTTTCTGGTAAGAACATGTATTTTTTCAAAAACTTGATGGGTAATTTTTCTTATTCTATTGGCAGATTTATTTATTTGTCACCTCTTTATAGGAAGTCTCTTGAAGCACAAATATGTTTATTAAGCAGGAAATGTTTATGATACTGAAGTTCACTTTCTGAAACCGACACCTTACTGTGAGAGAGAAATGTTTCGTCTTCTACCTCTCAGTGAAGACAAAAGTTTAGCGCTGATCTCAGCTGCTGTCCAGACATCCTGAATGTGCCTTCTCTTGAATTCTGTCGTATTGAAGCTCCTCTGAATGGCTCAGAGTCTGTTTGAGTGGAGAAATGAGGTTTGTTGAACCTCTCCTGCTGTGAGAAATCTCCTGGTTTCTGTCTACTTGAATGAAAAATAAAGTGTTGGCTGAAACCTTCTTGTTCTTCTGGATTTAATTGATCTGTTATTGGAAATCAGCAGCAGACATTTACACTCTGCTTATTTCAGAGATGGAGGTTCAGTCAGGTTTGGGAGAACTGAAGAAACTTTCCACAGAACATGTTTAATAGCTCAAACAGATGAAGAAGGTCTAAAATATCAATACAAACTGAAATAATCTTCAGCTCTTCATCTTTTAAAAGCTGCTATCTCAGTTTGAACACTACATTATTGAAGAGTTTAACTCTTGGCTTTCTTGTCTTGGGGTAAACTACTGTGGTCCAGAAGGTCGACTATGCAAACATTTTAAATTCACTCCAAAAACATTTAAAAGAAAAAAAAAGTCAGCAATCCTAAAAGTATTTTACCATGCACAAAAACACTTGAACAAAGTTTTGTCAGATTTTGATTTTCACTGTTGTTCGAATCTGCCAGTTTCCTGTAAAATTTTCTTTTATTTATTTTTTGGTGTTTTATTAGTTTTTTTCAGGGTCAGTGTAATATGCTTCACTTCAATAAGTTTGGTCATGAAATATTTATACATTTGACCTTCAGGGCCAGCCTATAAACTAGCATCTCCATAAAATGATAAAAAGTAAACTCTTTTCATTGGGAAAACAAAAAACAAAAAAACTTTGGTCTCCAGATGTTCAGGTAAATGGGTCACTTTTGTCCTAAAAACATTGAGTTTTTTCTCAGCAGCCAAATCTGAAGTCCCCCAAACTGCAGTTCATTTAGTGTCCACTAGAGGCTGTTCCCAAGGTGAGTCAGTCCCCACGTTAAACGTGTAATTCATCCATATCTAGTCAGTTATTAGCAGAATCCGATTTATGGAGAAACGCTTCAGTTAATGGACTGTTTAGCTTATTGGTAAATTAGCTGATCAAACAGAACACACTTTTTATTTTTAAATAATCTGAGAAAATCAGTGTGTGAGGGAGCTGGACAACATCCCCCTCACTGAGGTAGAAAAATCATACACAGATGCATTTTGACTTATAAGATCAACTTCGTCTAATGCAGGAAGGTGTTTTTTTGTTTTGGTGTCATGTTCATGGAACTTCCTACGAATCCCTCTCTCTCTCTGAGTTCTTTTTCCAGGAGGCGTGTTTTCATGGAGAACACACATGAAGATGCAGCCACAGGACTCTAGTAGCCGTTTAAGGCTGAGTTGGGGCGACGGAGACGGAGGAGAGAGGTCAGAGGGGACATTTTGTCAGGTTTGACTTGTTTCGGTTTCCTCAGTTTATTAGATATTTGTTTTCAGCTGCATTCGTATATAAGTCCAATAAGTTATGTGTATTTCTTGTAAATATTGTTTATTGTAATTATGTTTTAAAGTAAAGGTTATCATGATATCACTGGTGAGGGAGGAGACTCGAGGGTAGAGACCAGGTGAGATTGGTCAGTGAGTGTGGGAGAGGGGGGAGGAGCAGGTTATGACTCTTCTGCTGGCCTGCTGCTGTAATTAATGGGGATCAGCTACACCTGCTGCAATCAAGGGTAATCAGCTACACCTGCTGCAATTAAGGGGGGATCAGCTACACCTGGTGAGTGTGGCTGGCTACCAGGAGTTTTTCTTGCTTCATGTGGTTGAGACTCAGTAGTTTTTTTTTTGTGTGAAGTGTCAGTAAAAAGAAACCAGCCAGCGCTCTGGAACCTATTGTCTCGTGCTCTTTATCCTGCCATCCTACTCCACACCGTTTCTGCCCTGTTTGTCCTGTTTGTAGAGGAGAACTAAGATCTAAAACTTTACAAAGTGAAACAGATTGATGAAAGAATTTTTTTTAACAGAAATTAAAAAAAACTTTAATAAAACTAATAGCCTGTCTAAACTGTGATGTGTGCTGAGTGAACTTATGAGCATGAATAAATAGAGAAAATGTTTTTTTTATTTCTTTTAAAGACAGTGAAACAGGTTGACAGCTAAATATCATCTGTGGTTGCTTTTTAAAAAAATATTTGTTTTTTTTTTTCATATAAGTTTGGCCACTCAATACTCTATCTGTTAAAGTACTCTGTTTTTACAAGTGTTTGTTAACTCCTCCCTTCTCCAAAGCCCCACCCTCTTCATCCAAATATGGTCACGTCTCGGCCGGTTACCAAAACTCAATAGACTGAAAAGATGCCAGACTAAAGGCTTTGGACAGATTTCTCTAGCTACTGTGTTCATGTAAATGTTCAGTCTGTTATTATGATTTTTCATATATTTTTGTGATTTCGCCACTCATTACAGTTTAGAAAGAAAAAGTCAATAAACAAACTCTTCAAAGTGAAACTGATTCATCCTGTTAATCTGAAATATTTGTAAAAAAAAACAAAAAACCTGTGACTTTAAGGAATTCAAGACAGACTCTGAAACTTTCTTTAAAGCATTTAATTAATAAATACACAAACACTTTGGGCTCACACACCCAGATCTGTCTTTAGATTAAAGGTTCATAAGTGACTAAAATTACATCCAAAAGCATAAGTTAAGAAGGCAGAACAAAAACAACAATATTCACAATCTCATAAAAACTACAGTCTTCATTTCTCACACACGTTTGGTTTCTTTAGAGGTCGGGTGTTCATGAGATCCTCTCTCAGAGCTGATCTTCTCACATGTTGGTGATCTTCTCTTTATTTTCAGCATCCATGTTTTTGTAAGGAACACCTGAAACACACAGACAAAGATTAAACACACGCATAAACACACAAATGGAAAGAAAAAAATCCATCTTGAAGAAAACTGATGAGGCTTGAACTTCTGCAGGGTTACGCAGTCATAAAAATACAAGTATCATCACCTTTATATTGAACTTCACCTGTTAAAATGACTTTAATAACTCCACAGTCTCACCATGATGTTACTCTGTGATTAAACTTTCAAAGGAGCTCAATAAAGTGATCACTTATTCATCTGTTCAGCCTCCTTCATCACTAACAGAGCAGAATTTTAATATCCCTTCCACCCTTTTATTGGTACAAAAAAAAACTTCTTACTGGAGGATGATTTCATGCTGATGTTTTTCAGCTCCTTCTTATTCTTCTTCCTGCAGAGACACACACTGAGGTCAAAAACTAAAGTGACAACCCTTTTCTGCTGCATGCAAATAAAAGAGAGAGAGAGAGGAAAAGAGACCAAGATCCAAAACCATCCCTCCACCTTAGAGCGCTGATCCCACAGATTCCCAATTAACATCAAACCACTGATCCCACAGTCCCCGAGGCCAAGAGTTTGTCATTTTCTCTCACCTATTGTGATCTGACTGCTGAATAACATAAGAATTTGACCTGCAATGAAATGAGATTTTTTTTTTAATGATCGATCACATCCCTGTTTGACCCGGTCCTTCCTCCTCCTCATGGTGTGTTCAGACCAAATACAAAGCAAACCTCTGCAGACACCCAGTTTGACCACTTGTTAGGTAGGACAATACACTGACTACCTTATCTACTTCAGCTGTGGACTGTCTGCCAGTCTGTCCATAATAAGTGTAGTCTTAGTGTCCCTGTAACATTGTCTCAGTTTTACAGTTTCTCATAATTCACAGTCAAGTCAGTCTGTCAAACACAGCTATAACTGTGACTGGATCAAATCAGGCTTAGAGGACACTGAGCTAACTACATGTTTCAGATTTGTTCAAAGTAAAAATTCTGTATTTGTCAGGTCTGCCTGTAGATGACTCTAGTTTTTGATTTGACCTTTTCTGATTCAGCTATTTCAGCATTAAAATACTTATGCATCATAAAATCCTCTCAGGAGAACATTTTTTGTAAATATATTACTCACCAGGCCTTTGCTTTACAAAATTAACAAACTGGGGGTGGGCAGTATGAAAGGATCCTGTTTTTTCCCACTGGGGATGTCCAACCCCACTCCTAATGTGAGCCGCAGAGCTCATTATCATCCTGTTTGCTTAAAAACTGCAGGCTTTGATTCCTATTTTCTCATATTTTTTTTCTCATTTTTCTCACATTTTTCTCTCATATTTTGCTTGACTCTTTGCCCTTTTTCAGGTACAGTTTCTATGATATCTTGCAGCTTTCATTCCCATCGCCTAATAGTCCTGACTATTCGCATAAACTTTTCTGAAACTAGGGTAGTGCCAGAGTCTGCTTCATCCCTGTTCTGAACACACCTTTAGGTCGGGAATGTCGATCAGGATTTTGTGCAAATGTCACTCAGCAGTCATGAAGGGAACACAAAAACACACCAAAGCACACCTTACTGCACACAGATACTTGGATGTTTCTGCATTACAGATTAGAACTCACTTAGATTTTTTCTTGCAGACACAGACGGTTGTTACGATGATGATGATAACGGCGACAATGACCAGCACAACAATAAGGATGATCCACTTTGTTTCTGTTGAGAGTGAAAAATGAAAGAGGAGTCAGAGTCTCTGTTGAAACCTAGAGTCCATTCCATCTTGAGAGATGTAAAAGTTTTAATCCAATCTTCTTTGGCTCCCTGCAGAGCAAAAGAGAAAGATTCAGAGTCTCACCGAGTCCTTCATCAGTTGGGGTGATCTCCACCTCACAGGTAGGGCCCTCAAAGCCCTCAGGACACTTGCAGGTGAAGGTGTTGTTGTTGCCCACCTCGCAGGTTCCTCCGTTCTGACATGGGGAACTGAGGCAGGGACTCTCTGCAGCACAAAACGACAACCATCAGAAACCTACCTCTTTGGTTCACTCCATATTATCTGCTACTTTTAAGTCAAACCACATGCACTACATCCTGTTTATTATAACTTGGACCTGTGAAGAAGTTCTCCTCTTAGTTTTACACCAAATTAGATAGAGTACTCAGAAAGAAACACTCTAACCAGGAAGTTGACGGTGTTTAACAAGTCGTCGTAGTTGTCATTTTTAGAGAGGGGCAGACTGAGATGAATGCAGAGGTGAAAAAACACCAGAACAAGTGTGGCGAGTGCACCAGAAGAGCCCAAACAAACATGATGAAATGCTAAAAATATATAGAGTATATCTCATATCTAGCAAGTGTGGTTCAGGCCAGTGAACACAGATGCAGAGATGGAAAAACACTAAAGCAAACTTGGCGAGTCCACCAGGAGAACACATGCCAGAATCTGCTGTCGTGTTGTGGCTGCATTTTCAGCAGCGGGTCTCTGAGAAGGTAAAGTTTGAGTGCTGGTTCTACTTCCTTTACTTATTGCTAACTTGACTCTGTTACTTATGTGGAACCTTAAAAGAAAAATAAACGCACCTCGTAGAGAAAGAGTAACAGGGTCATTAACAGGGTAATAACTAAAACTGACAAAGCAGTTTAGTTTTCAATAAAAACAGATAAATATCAAGATGTTACAGCCTGAAGCTCTCCCTCACAGACACACTGACCTTTGTAGCAGTCCCGTTTGAACTCGTAGATGGTGCACACGTATCCTTTCTGACAGCCCTTTGGTTGACACACTGCTCCAGTGGTGGTGCATTCACAGCTCTGAGAACAATCATCTGTCACGAACTTCTCCTTCAACTGCAGGATTGAGGGAGAGAAAGAACATGTGAAGATGAGGACGAGAACGAGGAGAGGGTCACATGATCAAATGCTCTGTTGTATCTGAACCATAAAGACCCTTACAGGATAGTATCTGTCCAGGAACATGCAGCCACACTCTGTGTACGGCACACACACGCCCTCGCTCATTACGAAGCCAGCGTTGCACTTGCATCCTTCCACGCAATTAACTTCTTCACACTCAGAGGGGGCGGCCAGGTTGGCACAGGATGCAGGGCAAGAAGACATACAGGTGGAGTAGGTGCTGTCAGCGCCGCAGGAGAGGACTGAGAAATGAAAAGAAAACACTTTTACAGTCAGCCGCTTATTTAAGGATTGCTGTGTACATGTGTTGAGTGTGTCTGTGTACATGTATTGAGTGTGTTTGTGTACATGTGTTGAGTGTGTTTGTGTACATGTGTATGTTAAGCGTGTGTGTGTCTGTGTTGCTCTTACCACAGCCCAGCTGTTTCCTCCAGGCTCCCAAGTTGACTCCAGCCTCCTGACAGGCTACAGCGTAGGCTTCATAACTGGCACAGCGCAGCTCGTTGCTGCCCTGCTCCGCACACAGGTCGAACACACAGTCACTGAAAACAAACACACACACATTTAGTTATGTTAGACCCGCACATTAAGACAGCAGTTGAACACACACACATACACTGAGGACTCACTCATCGTAGGACTGTGGCGGCACTCTTTCGTGGCAGCGCTGGAACAGCCCAGTGGGGTCTGACAGAGCACCACACTGAGTCTTACTCTTGTACTCATTGAGCTGAGATGAAGAGCAGTCTGAGGTCTCAAATCCTGAATCTGGATCCGCCTCCACTTCCCGTCTGTGTCCACACACACACACACACACACACACACAGAGGAAACAGGAGTGTTAAAAGCATTGTTTAATTTTGGCCTCCTGTTGCAGTTTGGAGCAGAGAGGTGCTTCTTGAAGCTCTGGTTTTAAACCTACCTGTGGATGTGGACTTTCTGAAGACGGTCAAAGCTCTTCACCACATCACCCTGGCGGTTTGTGGTCCTCCAGCTTTCTCCAAACTTGTTCAGATCTCTGACCAATTCACCGTTAGGCAACATGTACTCATTCCTGGTCAGCCCATCGTAGTTTCCACACAGACCTCGGACCAGGTTTGTGTAGGTGCTAGGCAGGACGATCTCTGAAAATCAGGCACACACACAGGAGAGATGGGTCAATAATGATACCAAAGACTTCTCTGGACCTGAGCCCATTTAAGGTGGACTGAGGGGAACAGGAAAACTTTTTGGAAATCATGGACACTGCATCCTCTACTCTGGAGAGTAGAGAAAGAGGGAATCATGTCTAAACATGATCCAGAACCATGTCTTTGAGGATTCTCATTCATCCAGGTCATGGTTGAAAGGGCATCTGGACTTGCTCAAGGTTCTTATAGACCTTTCATCGGAGTCGTCTGCTTTCACTCTCCATACTGACTCTTTCTCTCCATGCATCAAAGCGTGCTAACATCTGATTGGTTGGTACAACTTGATCAACAGATTCTTGCAAAAGGGGTTTCATTTACTCACCTCCTCGGCTGCTTCCATCAAAGCGCACAGTAAGTCCAAAGTCTGTGGTGAGTTGGACCTGTCTAGAGTTCATGGTGATGGACAGACCTGGCACTGGACTGAGAGGAGGAACAATACGCTCCCTGTTCACCTGAAAACCACATTTAGACTTTTACGCTGAGAACGATCAAGAGATGACTTCAGCTTTAATAAGACAAAGACAGATTCACTGACCAGCACTGTCTTCTTCTGCAGGAATCGAACGTCCACACCGTACACTTTAATGTACATCTCGTCTAAGAAGGACACCCTCCTGTTCCCTCCACGGCGGATGTTCTTCCCCTTCACCTGGAAGTCCTCCAAGATGTTGTTCTCCAGGTTGTGGCCCTGAGCCAGGACGTAGATGTAGGGGCCCTGGAAGTGATGGGTGAAGCCGTCGAAGGTTCTGTAATGGGGATCTCCGGAGATGCTGCAGCGTTGGAACTCTACACAGACAGAAAAAGAATCAAATCCAGGCCTTTAGCTGAGTCCCAGAGGGAGTTTAAATCCTCCTCTCTGCGTGTGAACAGTCTAAATCTCAAACAGAGTCAGACTTACTGGTGGGTTTGCAGTTCAGTTCTCCAAGGTTATCCAGAGAGCACACTGTGTTGGGGTTACAGCCGTGGTCTTTACAGGAGATTTTACCGCCCTTCTCGCATGTGCAATGCTCTGCACATTTATCTGTCAGCCATGTGTCTCCCACCTGCACACAAACACAGACGGGTCATTCAGAAACAGCAGCACCTTTGGTTCTAGCTTACAGACTGCCGAGGAGCAGGAGAAAGAATACAATACAAGAACTTAATTAATCTCCAAAGGGAAATTTGTTTGTCTGGAATCTCATCTCATCCACTATTTATAGAGGCATTAAAAAGTTTGATGGCTATAGATACAAAAGGTTTTCTGTATCTCTCAGTTCTGTAGCAAAGAGAGAGGAGCCATCCACCACCAGTCAGGTGAGAGGAGAGGGTGACATGGTTAAAGTCTCCTGATATTGTTACAACTGCCTCAAGATGTTGAGTCTGTATCCTAGCAACAGCATGATGGAGAGCCTCACACAGAACTTCAGCTGTTGCCTTGGGTTGTGTGTATACAAGTATTGTTATGATATGACTGAACTCTCTTGGAACATAATATGGCCAAAAAGCAACTGATGTAGGTTGTAGATGTCGGTTTCAAAAGTGAGCATGATTTTATTTAATGACTCTAATATTATGGTACAAACATTTACCTGCTACATGGAGCATCACAGTGTGAGAACTACCCACCAGATGAGGTATGTGGCAGGTGTTGATTTTACATGTCAGTTTTTCTACTTTAGTTGTGTCTTCTGACAAAAACCAGCTGACTCTGGATGCTCAAAGTGATCATTTACTGCAAATATTTATGTGAGATTTCAAAACAGGTTGTTTCTGCAGCTCTGAGACAATAAAAACCTAACCCCCTGGACCAACTCTCAGAAACGTCTCTTCATGAATCAGGGTAATGGTTTGGTTTTACTCACATCGTGGTACTCCCCGTCATCACTCAGACACCCACACTTGTCCAGAGGGACGCAGATGTTGTCACTCAGGACGTGTCCGGCATCGCACTGGCAGCCCTCCACACAGGTAGTGGGGGGAAGGTGGCAGAAGATGGGGAAGAGGTCAGAGCAGGTGGGGGGGCAGGGGGCGGTGCAGTCTGAGTAGTGGCTGTTGGAAGGGCAGGGCACGGCTGCAAAGGGGGCGGAGTTAACAGGTGTGAGAGGTCATTTGTATCATCGTTATTGGTCAGGTTATTTGCACAAAAAGGGAGACTCACGACAGAAGGTGTTGTTCCTCCAGCTGATCGACACGCCGGCGCTCTGACACGCCTGAGCGTAAGCCTCCACGTTGTCGCACAGAGTGGACTGCATGCCGTCGTACTCGCACATGTCGTAGACGCAGTTACCCAGGAAGACCTCCGGGGGCACCAGAGAGTGGCAGGGTTTGAAGGTGTCTGAGAGGATGACAGAGCCACACTGAGCCTCAAACTGCTTCTCCTCTTCGGGGGTACAGTCGGGGTGGACGTCAGGACGGGTGTCTGGTTGACAGCTGAAAGGGGGTGGAGCAGGTACATTCATTTCAACTTCAGCACACCTTGTTAGGACCTCACTTTACTGAGCATTCATTAGACTGTAAATACAGCTAAGGAATTTAGTTAATTTTTTAATTAAATGCCCCAAATTTAGAAGAACAGACTGGTCCATTCTCCCTGAACCAAGCCCAAAAATTATTTGCCTATTCTCAAACACGTTCTCTATGTGTCTCTTAAAATTTAAAACCTTCAAACACAGATTTTTGAGGGATTAAAGCTGTTGTATCCATAAAAAATTATCTGAATTTAAGGTTGTAACTTAAGGACGACAATGTGTTGGTATCATCTCAGACCGACGTTGTCAATTTATAGGAAAAAAAAAACAGTTTAAATTCAGGAACAACAGCTGTAAATAAATGAAAATAAAATACCATAAGGTTAAAGCTGAATGTATACCAAACAAAACTTTAAATATTTGTGAAGATAAAGGTATTAATTTAAAGAAACTAAATCTGAGCAGCTCCTCATTATCATATTAGCCCCACCCACTCAGATCACTGCATAGATAATGAGGATAGAAACTAAGAGGCTGCATTTGTGATGTTTTTAGCAGGTGTATATAAAGATGACTCAGACGTGTCATAAACAGCTAAAAGATACAATTATAATGTGTTCAGGATTATTAGAAAAAACACACTGCTTAGACAGAAGCTCATCCTGGTGAGCTCTCTCTCTCTCTCGTTCGTGGTCCGATCATGAGCAGATTATTTAAATGCACAGACTGTTAAAGGCTCAGCTGTACTTTAGCCCTCCTGCTGATCACATAATCACAATAAATTCAGAGACTGACCCAGGGTCACTGTCTCCCTCGGCCTTCCAGCTGTTCCCCAGTTCGATCGCATCTTTGGCGGGTTTCTTGTTGGGCATCAGGTTATCATCAGTGGCGTTCTGGTTGTAGTTTCCACACATGCCGCACAGCTGCAGAGGAGGAAGGAGGACAGAGATTTACAGTCTGACAGCCATCTTTAAGTCATAAACTGAAGAAAAGAATGATCCTTTACTCTCCTACCTTGTTATAGTACTCTCCAGGCACAGTGATCTCCAGGTGATGGACTCCATCAAACTTCACCTGTAGACCAAAGTCAGTGTCCAGCACAGTAAAGGTGCCACTGGTGATCACTTTGGCGCCAGCCTTCGCGATGGTCAGCGGGGTTCGAACTCGCCGTCCATTCAGCTGAGAGGAGTCAAAGAAAACACATCAGAACACTCCAACCTCATCATGACATGAGATTCTTTAAATGGAAATAAAAAGTCATTTACCAGAACTCTGCGGCTCTTCTGCAGCTCCACCACCTGGTCACCTGGCAGGTAGACTTTAGCTGAGCGGACGTATGAGGCCTCGGGCTGACCACGCTCCTCATTCTTGGCCACAATGGTGAAGTCAGTTACCTTGCTGGTGTCACACACCTGGAGCACCAAAAGAAGTGGTTAAGTATTTCTTGTCTTATTGGGACAGATGAGATCAACTCCTCACCAGCTTTTCTGGTAAAATATTAGCATAAAAATCTGTTTCTAGTAGCAAAAGTAAAAGCATGTCAGATGTCTACTTGAGCTAGAATTCCTTCCATACCTCCACCAGGGTGTAAGTGCATGTCCCCATGAACGTGTGCATCACTCCATCAAAGGTGTAGTAGTGAGGATCTCCGGCCACGTGGCACACACCTTTACCTGCGGAGTGAAAAGAGTAACATTATAAGACTGCACAGTAGAATTGCTTTTTATCGCTCTAGTGTTTTAAGGAGGAGCTTGGTAAGTATGTTGCAGTGAGTGTCTTCTGGGTGTACCTGTGGAGTGACAGTCCAGAACTCCCTCCACCACCTTACACTCCTGGGCGGGGCTGCAGACCCACGGCTCACAGGTGATGTTGTTGTTGCCGTTACACTTGCAGCGCTCTGAGCAGTCCAGCTCTGTGAACCACGAGTCTCCAACCTACACACAGACACACACACAGGAGGAGCACAGCAAACCGTCACTGCACGCTCAGACTCTGAACAAACATCTGTGCAGGTTTCATCCTCTCTATACTCACCGGGCGGTACTTTCCGTCCTCATCTGTGCAGCCACACTCACTTGGGGGGACACACTTATCCCCACTGAGGACCAGACCCTCGTTGCACACACATCCCTCCACACATGGGTGGTTGCACGAGTTTCCGGAGCCTCCAGGGTTCTGACAGCTGGGCTGGGAGCAGGCGGAGGCGCAGGGGTTGTAACTGCTGCCAGGGGGGCACTTCAGAGCTGGAAGACGGAAAATAGACAACAAAACCGAATCAACAAAAACCAAAAGCACGTTGAGCCCGATTGTTTGCTATTGCTATTAAATTTAAAGGGATATTCTGGCATAAATTTAAGTTATGGTCAAACACACCGCAACGCCTTGAGAGTGAATGCATTAGCTTAAGCCTTGTCTGTTTCAGAAAAAAGCAACACATGCTGATAAATTTAATTAATCTACAACCTTGATGGGGTTGAGATGCTGCGCCTCACTTAGCACCCAGACTGTGCAGCGCTAAACTAGCAAAATGAGGGCCTACATGTCCTAGTTCACTTTTGTCTGTTCGTCTTTATATTATTAGTATTTCTTACGACAGAAGGTGTTGTTCCTCCAGCTGATGGGCACTCCTGCAGCGGCACACATGTCGGCGTAGGTCTCGATGGCCTGACACAATGCGACCGTCTGACCGTCTGTCGCACACATGTCATACACGCAGTTCTCAAAATACGGCTCAGGGGGGACCACAGCGTGACACGGCTTGAAGATACCTGAGGTCAAAGGTGACAGACAAATATATTATTATTCAGGGACAAACTCAGATCAGGCTGATGATGATAATGGGTGGAATAACAGGTGTTCACGTATTGTACCGTTAGGATCGGTGATCATTCCACAGCTGGTGGGCTTCATGGCGTCTTCCTCCACATCGTCATCACAATCCTCCTCTCCTCCTGAGTGAGTGCAGCTGAACCAAAGACACACAGTTTATCAGACCAGAATTCACACTCACAGTTCTGTATTAACCAGTTTGGTATTTGGACTCACTCTGGGCGGGGGTCAGGAACCTGCCAGCTTTCTCCCAGCTCATTGGTGTTAGCAGCAGGTGTGTTGTCTGGTTTCAGGTTGTCGTCTTTGGGGTCTTCGTTGAAATTTCCTGCAGGAAAAACGAAAATCAAACTCTTCAGGAGCGTTTTTGTTGATCTGGCATCTTTGAGTTTGGAGTTTGGAGTCCTGAATTGTCACTTTGAAGGAAAATTTGTGTTTAATAACTTAATTTTCTTACCACACAGGCCACAGAGCAGGCCATTATAGGATTTCGGTAAGGTCACGTCAGCATGGTGGTTTCCATCAAAACGAACTCTCAAACCAAACGATGTTTCCAGGACGACAAACTTTCCACTCAGGTAGATATGAATTCCTTTGATAGAGGTGACAGGTGGGACGACTGCAGTGCCATTCACCTGAAAAAAGGAGAGGAACAGACTGGTGTTCAATTCAAGCTGTGACACTACTGCTACAACAAGCTAAAACAGGACATCAGTTCATTTCAGTCAGGACCACCTTCTTTAAAAGAATGAACTGTTCTGAGAGCTCTCTCTGCTGCTCCACATGCCTTATATGAAAGGCCAAGGCAGGGAGAGCAGCAGCAAAGACTCCCAGGGTTCTGTCCAGAGCATTGTTGACAGCCCATGTGATGCTAGGAAGCTAATGTAAGTCCTAATAGCCAGCCTCAGACATTCTACTTACAAATTATTTCACAACTACAAAGCTGTGCAAAAAGTAACACCCTGTGCCCTCTCTAACTTTCCATCAGAGTACAGAGTTTTATTAGCTGCTATTATGCTAAGCTAATCCATAGATTTCTATAGTCTACATCCCTGTCAGGTGACGTACCTGTACTTTGCGTCCCTTCCCGAGAATGACGGTCACGCCGTTAACATTGATCACCACCGCTCTGACGTAGGAAACCTTCTTGTTGCTTCCCCTGTGCTCGTTCTGGGTGTCCACGGTGAAGTACGGCAGGCCGGAGGACTCATTGCAGGGTTTGGTGAGGGTGTAGGAGCAGGCGCCCATGTAGTGGTGGACACGTTTGTCAAAGGTGTTGTAGTGGGGGTCACCAGATACCGAGCAGATACCAGATCCTAAAGGAGAGAGGAGACAAATCTATTAGATGATTTTAGTCTTTGACTCAGTCATTTCAATAGTTCTTATCTTGCACTAACAGGTAAGACACTTTTTCATCTAAGGCCTGATTCACTGTAGCAGGATGAACAAATCCACTTAGGGCTAAAACCTCACCAAGACCCCAGATCTGTAAATGAAGGGCCCTGGTTGGTATCAAAGTCTCCCTTTTACTGGATGTATCTGAATGTGTTAAACGTACCCACAGGGAGACACTCATAGTCTCCGTTCTGCAGCTGACAGCTCTCAGTGACGGGGACACAGCTGGTGTTCTGACACTGAATCAAACCTCCACCGTGACACTGACACTTCTGCTCACATCCCTCCAGGTACCAGTCATCTCCGACCTGCCAGAAAAAGAGAGTCAGATATTATAAACGTACAGTTCAGAGGTCCTGGATGGAGCTCATGAGTGTTGTGGTCCACTCACCGGGTGGTAGGATCCGTGATCATCCACACAGCCACAGTCTTTCACAGACACACACTTGTCGTTACTGAGGATGAAGCCGGGGTTACACTGGCAGCCCTCCACACACACATCCTCACAGCCGGGGGGTCCGACCACACCCAGACACGTCTCTGGACACGAGCTCACGCACAAAGAGTACGAGCTGTTCGGAGGACAGGCCAGAGCTGCAGGAGAATAATTAAGATAAACAAACAGACAGGATTAAACACAAATTGATTATAAGACTTTTTTTTTCAATAAAGTGGAAATAAAATTTAAATCCACAATTTCAGCCTCCAAAATAAAAGCTAAAACTCATTTTCTTAAACTTTCTTTATGTTTGGTTGAAGTTTTTTAAGTTTTGTGTTGGATAAAAAGACATAGAGTTGAAATACTGTGAATGATAAATAACATTTAAGTTTGCGTTGACTTACGACAGAACTCTGGGGTCCTCCATGGGTAGACTTTGGCCCCAGCGCTCTGACAGGCATCGGTGTATGCCTGCAGAGAGTCACAGAGGACGCTCTGTTGACCGTTATACTGACACATGTCGAACACACAGCTACGGAAGAAGGGCTCAGGATCCACCACAGCAATACAATCCCTGAAAACAGAGGAAACAACAGCTCAGAAAGATCTGTCAGGGACGACATATGTGAGATCTGAGTTTTCATAAATTTGTAAAAGCAACATGCTGGCTAAAAAACTATAAATCTGAAGCAGATAGAATTCAAACATTTTTCAAAAGCTGCATTTTATCTTTACATAGTTTTGGATCTAAATGTCTAAAAGTTATAAAAGTTTCTAATTTAATCTGTACATGAACCAAAAACAGCCGTCACAATCTTTTCTTCAAACAAACCAAACTATATTTCGAGAACTGCATTTTTATTGAGCAGAGCACAGGAGTTTTATTATAGGTTTAAAACTTTAAATTGTTACTGTGAGATAGAGGTGTGTTGTGTTTTAAATGCAGATACAAGTAAGAGGACAAAGTCAATAAAAAACACACAGAAACAGTTGAATCAGCAGCAGAGCAGCAGCTCCTGCTCTCGCTGAGGTGAAAGTGCTGATTTTTATAATGGAGTGTGGTGCTTCAGGTTAAAAAAAGGCCTGACTTTATCTGGATCTTTTCTTATCCAACAACAATTTTGCACCTGCAGTCAACACTAAGGTGTGTGTTAATATGTGTGTGTTATTCTGTGTGTATGTGTGGTCCAGAGTCTGTCACAGTCCATGTGATCCTCCAAGAACAACAAGTCATAACTGTAATCTGAACTCAGATTATCGAGTCGGACAATCTCGATGAAGATAACACAATCTGTGAGCTGAGATGATTCATGGACACGTGTGTAACTGTGGGACGTCTCCTTCAGAATAAAAGCACCAGTTCAGCAGGAACACAGCGATAAACCCTCCTTTATAGCGACTGAAGCTGGTATCTTAAAACAGCCACACCCTCTGACCTGCCTTTACACATTGTAATCTGACACATGCACGCCCACGTGCCCACCCACACACACAGATGAGAACTGACTTTTCTCGGGACAGGGAGGAGTCTTCTTTCTAGATAATAATCAAATGCGTTATTGAGACATACGTGAACAAAAGTGTTGATGAGCTTTTTTTCTTCACCTACGCAGTTGCTGTGAATATTTTCATATAAAAGATTTTTTCTCAAAGACATTGTAGAAAAAAAAACGTACTTTTCCCAGCTGATCAGTATTTTTGATAATCCTGAAATATACAGCAACTGACAATAGTCGCCTCAGACAATAATATTAATGATAAAGACTCACACAGAACAAAAAACAGCTGTGTGACCCAGGAACAAAATCAGTTTTCTGCTGTGTTCAGTCTTTTATTTTGAAAAGTCCCATATTTTTTCAGTGGGTTTTACATGAATTCGTCTATCAGCCTAATTTCAACATTAACCTCTTTTAAAACTTGCTGTGTAAAAAGTAACACAACTTGCACGTGTCTGTCAATGTAAAACTGGGTGCAGTTTTAATCTTATCTAAATTACAGTTCAACACACCTTATTTGATGACCTGCTAATAAAGGAGACTTCGGTTTAATGTGTATATTCAACAGCTTTTTCTGTCTGCCAACAAAACCTCTAAAAAAATCCCAGAAACTCCCTTTTTTCGAAATGATTTTAAAACCCAGAGGCCCCACTTAAGGCCCAGACGAATAAACTTAGTATGGAGATATTTTCATGTACATGTACTAAGAGTGAACGTGTGCATGTTCTTCCTATCATCTCTTATTATACGTGACTCTGTCAGTACCTTTTAATTTTGTTTTAATTGATGCATCAAGTGTGTGAAAGTTGAAAGAAGCCATTTAGGGTCACACTCATGGGAACTACAGCTCTGTTACCGCTCACTCTAGTTCTGTCTGCATCATGTAGTCGGGTTTCAGAAGGTGTGTTCTCACCTGAAAGGTCCGGTTTTGTCTTCGATTTTGCCACATTTATCAGGTTTCACCACCTCGGCCTCCAAACTGGGGTCGCAATCTGGGTCTGGATTGGTACCTGGAGTACACCTGGTTACGCAAACACAAGGACGGGGTGATTTTACATCTCTGTGCACTCAGACTGAAGTCTCAGTGATGATCTCTGTTTTATGTCAGTCCCACCTTATTTCTAACTGAACACGTGCAGATTACAGGTCACATGATTCAGATTCTAAGAAAGCTCGAAGGACTACAATAAACTCAGATTACAGCCCAGAAATGAAGCATGTGAACTCACGAGTCATCCTCATCTTCCTCTGTCTGCCAGCTGTTGCCAAAGTCATTCACGCTCCCGGCCTGAGTGCCATCTGGTTTGGTAAAGTCATTGTTGGCGTTCCCGTCGTAGTCGCCGCAGAGGCCGCACATCTGGTCGAAGTAGGAGCTGCAGGAAGAAAGATGAGTGGGGATTAAGAGATGAAGAGGAGCGTCTTAAGGAGTCTTAAGAGATCAAACTGTTTGAAAGTGGACAAACAAAGAAATGGAGAGTAGAGTTCTCTGTGTGTGATACTTTTAGTCCAACCATCATCGATAAAACCAAAGTATGGGATCGCACAGAGGATTTATGGACCATGGCAGATCTGGATGACCTCTGACCCCTGGCTGATTTCTTAAGCTTTTTTTCTGGGAAATATTCCTTTTTTACTGAGTCAGAGATTAAAATGCTTGATACAGATTTTATCCAGATTATCACATTCTGCAGGTTGAGCATGTGCTGCTGAATTGAGGATAATGGTGATCGGAGGTTCCTTCAGGATTTCAGACTCTTCCAGGAAAACAGACACTATTAGCTTCCTAGGGTGGTGGGGCGCTGACTTTTTTCAGGGCGACCAAAGGAACAAAAGTCTCTCGGAGAAAAAGATGGGAAGAGATTCACCACTCTGTGAGAGACTGCTTGAGCTAATAGTTCAACAGTTTCAGAAAAATGTTCCTGAGTGAAGGAGTGAGTGGATTAAAAGACTGATTCTTTTGAAAGATTCAGAGACCAAAACCAAGACTAGATGGTCCTGATCTTCAGGCCTTCACTGGCTCAACTGTGAAAACTCCATTAATGCTGAACAATATCTACATGTTTAGGAGCAACACTTCACCTGGGTCGGTAAAAGAAGAGCCGAGGACACACACACATGAACCTGGAACTACTTTTTACAAACATCCGATTTAAAAAAAGAGTCATACAGGGAAAATATTTCTCTCTTTTCATGTCATAAAGTGAGTTTTCCCACCAACCTGGGGACTGTGATCTGGGCATAATGGTTTCCATCCCAGCGCACCACCAGTCCGAAGGTGGTCTGCAGGGTGACGTACTGACCGGCCAGACTCAGAGACATGAGGGGTGAGGGAGAGTGAGGCAGCGCCACCCGCCGTTCGTTCACCTGCAGCGAGAACGATGATTGAAGATTGTGGTCAACACTTGTTTGCTGGCAGTTAGATCAAATCTGATTCATGGAGGATTATCAGAGACATGGATAAACATCCCGCTCTCAGGGATTTAGAGTAGAGGAAACCTGATGGATCAAACAGACGAGGAAGAACGCTGACAGATTTCTGGGATTATGGCATTACAAAAGATAAAAAGAGAGAGGATAAGATTGTATAAAAAGGTGAAGAGAGGGAGAGGCAGTTTGATTTGACTGAACTGACAGATTAGGACGAATACAGAGACAGGGAAACCACATGGGGTTTACTTATGAAAGAGGTCTACAGTGAAGGTCGTCCAGACTGACCAGAGTTCTCCTGCTCTTCATCATGGTCACAGTGATGCCGTTTACAGTGACGTAGAGTTTCTTCAGGTACGACACACCTGACACTCCTCGCTCCTCGTTCTTACCCTCCACAGAGAACCAGGGACCTGCATGACACACACATCACCCCAATGTTTTTACTATGAAAAGATAGTCTTGCTGAAACAGGTTGTTACATGATTCTTCAAGGACTGAAACAGACCATAATTCAGATCTGTGGTTTAGAAAAGCAAATATGTTTATTTCTCAGGCCTGAAACTGGTGCAAAGTGGCAGGTGAGCAGGTGTAGAAAGGATCCTGCTTTTACAGTTTCAACTTCAAATATTCACATTAAATGACAAATCTGACCATCAAAGCTCTGCAGGAGGAGATTTTTATGACAACTTTGTCGACAGGGGGCGCCAAAAAAAAAGGGAAACTTTTCCTGTTGGGCTGACGCTGCTAAGTTTTCAAAAGAAGATTAGCTGTTCTCACCTGTTTTGTTCCCACAGTTTCGAGCTAGCGTGTAGGTGCATGTTCCCATGAAGGTGTAGAACTTCTTGTCAAAGGTGTTGTAGTGAGGATCTCCAGAGACCACACAGTCCTGAGAACCTAAGAGAGAGAGAGAGAGGATGACAGGTGTGAACATCTTCAAAATATCTCTGAACAGAAACGCTCAGAGGTTCGAGAAAGCTGCTCAGCTTCTTCCTGCAGTTTATTTGAATTATTGCACTTATAAAATTTTCACCAAATGCATCAAAATGGAAAAGGTGTGAAACATTTTTGAGAATTATTTCCAAAACTGTAACTTAGTGCTAATAGACAAAAACATGTATAAAAGTTTGGACTCAACAGAGTTCGGTCTGCACATTTGTAAAATTTCAAATTTATCTCCTAAATCTTTGACTTTATTCTTAAAGTTAATATTTTTTATCTCTGGCCAACCTCTTCTGTCTCGTTTTGTTTCAGAGGTTTTAATCAAACAGAGATAAAGTGAGTCAAGAATCAGTGTTAAGGATTTAGATGTTCAAGTTTGCTCCACAGACTATAAGTGGGCTTTCCTCCTCCAAGTGTGAACTTACCAACTGGATAACATCCCAGCTCTCCACCCTGGTTTTTACACTCGTGCATTGGGGGGCATTCAGAGGCCACACAGGTAACGAAGGGGGCGTCGCACTTGCACTTTAGCTGACAGTCCTCCACATAAAACTCCTCTCCAGGCTAAAACACAAAATTACACAGACGCAATAAAACACCCTGTCGTGTTGAAGAAGGAGAAGTAAAATGAAAAACCAAGGACACACATGCTAACATGAACCATCACCCCTTCATCCCCCCATCTGCCCGCCCCTGACACAAACCCACCTGGTAGTACTGTCCGTTGGTGTGGGTGCAGCCACAGGAGCTCTCCTTCACACACTTCCCAGCACTCAGGACGTAGCCGGAATCACATACACAGCCCTCAGAGCAGGGACCGCTGCTGCTGCAGGAGGGAGGTTTGCCGGTACAGGTCTCCTGACAGGGGTCTGCGCAGTTGTCGTAGTGGCTGTTGGGGGGGCATTTCAGAGCTGTCGGGGGGTGGGAAGAAGAGGTCACTGATAGGTTGGGAATACAGGAAGATGTCCCTACTGTTCTGGACTTTAGGTGTAGTTATAGTACCACCCATGGATTTCCACATCTTTCTACCATCTAAATAGTGAATCAGTATTTCTTTATGAGGGGCTGTAGCTCCTCAAACACCACCAAACATGAGTTTGACGTACTGGCTTTGCCATTTTGTTTAATGACCTTTCACATTCCAGTTGTCAAATGGGATGGTGGTTCTATTAAATGTATTCCTCTAAAAAACCACTCTGGAGTCCTTATGCTCCTGATTTTGCCAGTTTCATCAATATTGTCTCTGATTCCTTCTTCAACAGCATTATTTTGGTACGTTAGCTCAACTTGATTTAACTTAGAGCGTTATAAGTCAGAATGACATGTCTACATATCTTTTTTGAGTCAACACTCACGGCAGAAGGTTTCGTTCCTCCAGGGTCCGATGTTGACTCCGCGGTCCTGGCATTCATTGACGTACGCTTCGATAGCTTCACACAGAATGGGTTTGGCTCCATCCAGCTCACAAAGGTCAAAGAGACAGTCCCTGAAATAATTCTGAAGACAGAGACCAGATTCAGCCACAAAGATGCATTATCCATAAACCCAAACCCCAAACAGAGGGGTCCTGCTGAGGGTTGGGATTGGGCTCACACTGTTCGACATGTTTGCACAGTTGAATTGTGGCTGCGTATGACTGTGGGAGTAGTGACTTACATTTGGATTGACTCTAGGATGGCACACGGCGAAGGGACCTTTTTTGTCCAGCAGAATGCCACAGTATCCAGAGCTTTCGTAAAGGTCCTGTTCATCTTCGTCACATCCAGGGATGGTGGTGTTGGGTTTCTTGTTACACCTGCCATCACAGACTGTCAGTTAGAGGAGCTCTGTTTGGTGGTCAGTAACATTTTATCATTGATGGATTCAATTATGGGAGTAACTGGCATTAGACTTGACTTCTTCTGGGGACAGGAGATGTCAGGGAGGAAGTTTGAGGGACAATCCACACTACATGTGGCTTGTAAATACTCTGAAGAGAGGGTTGCAGAGACTGCCGCTGCAACAACATGCTTATGGATTCTGAACGGTTGTGGCTTGACCTTTTGATATACAGATCATCAGGGTTTGACGGACAAAGGGAAAGTCCTAAAAGTTTTCACATTGCCCTTGCAGTAAACGGTAAAGTGTGCTACTCACTCTGGATCGGTGTTCCAGCTGTGTCCAAACTCATTAGGGCTGGTGGTCAATGATCCATCTGGTTTACGGAAGTCATCTTTGGTATCTCCATCATAGTCTCCACACAGTCCACACAGTGTGTCCTTGTAGCTGCACATAGCCACAAAATCACATAGGTCATTTTTTGGAAGACAGAAATCTTCTTCAGCAACTTGTTGCAATCAAAATCAATTTTGATTCAGTCTTTACTCACTCTTTGATAATTTTGATGTCCATGAAGTGGTTTCCATCGTAACGGACAGTTAAACCAAAGTCTGTTGATACAGTGTAGTGCTTTCCTGATTTGTACACAGAGACACCAGGGGTTGGAGATACAGGCAGGTTGACATTGGTCCCATTCACCTATAAGGAAAACAGGGGTTAATCAATCTTTTAAAACCCTGTTTTAGCAGAATGTGAGTTATTTCTACAGTCTTAGACAAATGACATCAATTATCCAAGTTACCTGGACAGTACCACCTTTGAGGATGGAGATCTTCACATGACGTACATACACATGTACGGCTTTCACATAGGAGATGGTGGGCCTGTTGAAACGATTCTCATTGTCTGCATGGACCTCAAAGTACTGCAGAGACGTGGTATTGCAGGGTGAAGACATCAAATAGCTGCAGTTGCCCATGAAGTTGTACTTCCGTTTGTCAAACGTGGTGTAGTGGGGATCACCAGATGCAATGCATGAAGATGTTCCTGAGGGAAACCAATGTGGCATGTTATAGGCTGGCCAGACATGTAGAGTTGAGGGTAGGCTTAGCTAAACACATCTATAGAACAGCAAATGCTGACAGCAGATTACCTACGACTGTATCAGCTGTTGAGATGGTAAAATTGAAGTGAGATATGAGGGACAACATGTTTTTTACCTTTGGGATAGCAGCCTGAAACTCCATTAACCTCGCGGCACTCCTCAGTGATATCACAGGAGTTATCAACACACTCCAAAGTGTAGTTCCCAGCACAGCGGCACAGCTGGGAGCAGCCATCACCGAATACAATCTCCCCAGGCTAAAAAAATGTTTAACAAGGGATTAGTCTTATAGGTTTTAAAGTTTAACTTGAGCTTCTCACTATATGTTGGATGTATATATGCTGAGGAGAAAAGAGTGGGTACATGAATATTAGCCAAGACATCGAACCTGGTAATAGTTATTATCGTCATCCAGGCAGCCACACTGCTCCAATGGCACACAGCGCCTTCCCTTAAAGACATAGCCTGGTTTACAGAAGCAGCCAGTAATACAGGATCCAGAACAGTTGGTGGATGGTTCCATACAGGTGGGGATACAAGCTGGACCACAATCTATATACTCTGCGTTAGGTGGACATGGATCTGTGAAGAGTACAAAAAATTGGTTAATGAGATTAAGATGCTTCCACATTACAAACAGGGATAGAAGACAATGAAACAGGAGGCTTCAAATAGCTTGTGCCATACTTGGTGTGTTTGTTGTGGGTCTTGGTGTTGTTGGCCTTGGAGTAGAAGGTTTTGGTGTGGTTGGTCCAGGAGTTGTTGGTTTTGGGGTACTAGGTCCTGGAGTAGAAGGTCCAGGTGATGGTTTCGGTGTGGTTGGTCCAGGTGTTGTTGGTTTTGGGGTACTAGGTCCTGGAGTAGAAGGTCCAGGTGATGGTTTTGGTGTTGTTGGTCCAGGAGTTGTTGGTTTTGGGGTACTAGGTCCTGGGGTGGAAGGACCAGGTGATGGTTTTGGTGTAGTTGGTCCAGGAGTTGTTGGTTTTGGGGTACTAGGTCCTGGGGTTGAAGGTCCAGGAGATGGTCTTGGTGTAGTTGGTCCAGGAGTTGTTGGTTTTGGGGTACTAGGTCCTGGAGTAGAAGGACCAGGTGATGGTTTTGGTGTTGTTGGTCCAGGAGTTGTTGGTTTTGGGGTACTAGGTCCTGGGGTTGAAGGTCCAGGAGATGGTCTTGGTGTAGTTGGTCCAGGAGTTGTTGGTTTTGGGGTACTAGGTCCTGGGGTTGAAGGTCCAGGAGATGGTTTTGGTGTTGTTGGTCCAGGAGTTGTTGGTTTTGGGGTACTTGGTCCTGGGGTTGAAGGTCCAGGAGATGGTTTTGGTGTTGTTGGTCCAGGAGTTGTTGGTTTTGGGGTACTAGGTCCTGGGGTTGAAGGTCCAGGAGATGGTCTTGGTGTAGTTGGTCCAGGAGTTGTTGGTTTTGGGGTACTAGGTCCTGGGGTTGAAGGTCCAGGTGATGGTTTTGGTGTGGTTGGTCCAGGAGTTGATGGTTTTGGGGTACTAGGTCCTGGGGTTGAAGGTCCAGGTGATGGTTTTGGTGTAGTTGGTCCAGGTGTTGTTGGTCTTGGTGTTGTGGGTCCAGGTGTTGTTACAGGGGGCTGAGGAGTTGTTGGTGATGCTTTGAACAGAAAATTAAGATCATAATATGAAATCATATTAATTGATTATGTATTTTAATTACAGATGAACCAGACCTGAGTCTCAGTTGGGTTAGGGTCTCACCTTTGCAGGCCAAGATACAAACAGCATCAACAGCAATATCTGTCTTTGAAGTTTCTCCAAAGGTGCCCATGATGACGAACTAAAACATATCAAATAAAAGTACAGTGTCATATCTTCCTTTTACACACATGCATAAACATGCAGAGACAAGCAGACTCCCCAGTACTCACTTTTATGGCAGAGGATCCCACATAACGAACTTCTGCAGGTTTCCATCCTTCACCCTGGTTTCCCTTGACTGACCAGAGAGCAGGTCCAAGGCTTCCACCTGGTACATACAAAAACAAAATCAAGTCAAGTCAACATAAAACAGTCTGAGATCTTTTCTTGGTGGTTAGTTACATGCTATTTTTTTACCTGTGGTGATGGTGTGGACGCTGATCTCCATGTTGGTGCTGGTACCAAACAGGTAGTAGTAGAAGGTAAGGTCCAGACAGCCAGAGGCTGGGGTTTGTTGAGGACTTATGATGCGGGACTTCTCACCAGGTACAGCAGAAGTTGAGTCCATCAGCATGTATGAGCCAACTACAAACAGTGGAGCCAAAAACAACTTTAATTTCTTCTGAATTATATTGTATTGTATCGTATTGTATTGGGTTGTATCCAAAAAGAAATACTTACACCCAGGTTTGGAGTAGTCATCCTCAGGTCCAGTTCCTTCAGTATCTGTCGGTCCATTCCAGATCTCAAATCCAAACATTTCCTCATTGTCATTTTCAGTTGTCCATTCGCAGAGGTCACCGTTGTCAAAATTACAGCCGGTAACACAAGCTGTGGGCACAACATTCATACTGTCAACGATATACTGATACCTGTTCCTGTGTGTACATATAAGTGTTGATGTGTGTATACCCACAAGGACATGCTCCATCAGTGATTACAATGTTGTCCAGGGCTGTGTCACAGGAAGCAGTGAAGCCTTTAGTATGTTGGAAAACAATCTACAAAGAGAAGGGAAAACACTATTACCCCTGATGATAACACAATAGACACATGGCTATGAGACTCACACGGTTCACACTTACCTGGACATTCTCTGCGCTTGGTTTTGGTACAGTGACAGAGCCCAGCAGCCAGGACGGACTCTGGAATCCTGTTTTAGAAAAAACTGCAGTCTCGCCACTGGGCCTCTTTACCAGGACCTTCAAAGTGTTGTGACTGTCTGCGCCGTACATGTAGTAGCGAAACTGGATGCAGATCTCATTTGAGGATGAGGAGATGGTTGGGCTCAGCAGACGAGCACTCTCACCGTTTGCCACATTATCAGCCTCATGGTAGATGTAGTGCCCCTCTGCAGACAGACAGGCAGACAGACAGACAGATGTATCATGAGCCAAACTTGGCCTCCAAACCTGAGGTTAGCAATAAACAGAAATACTAAATCATTCAGAACTGACTTCCATCAGGGTAGTCTCCCTTTGGACCAGTGCCCTCTGTCGGGGTCTCTCCTGTGTGTCTTATCCAGTCGCCGTTGTCAGTCGTGTCCTGAGTGAAATCGCAGAATGGGTCACTGTTGTCGTTGAAGTTACAAGAGGTCAGGACCGCCGCTGCAACAAGACAGACACAGATGAGATCCAACAACTCACCAACTAATGGATAAAGAGTCACTGTGATACATTCATATACATGTATATATATATACTGTATATAAACACAGGAAAAGTGATTTTTATGGCTCTGATTGCTGATACTTTCCTGTGTGTGTGTGTGTGTGTGTGTGTGTTAATGCTGTGTGTCATAAAGATAAGGAGCTGTAAAAAGTTGGAAGCCCACATTAATCTCAAGGACACACTGGATCACACGAGTTGCTGCTATTATGCCACCAAAATTACTTTAGATTATATTTATATAAATTCAAAATTTTATTAGCATGTTTCTACGGGAATATAGAGGATTTACTGGATTATTAAATCAACTCACCATCTTCTCTGTGTGATTTCTGCAGCCTGTAAAAGAGAAAAAAAACCAACACTCAAGGTTCAAGTTTAAATTTAACAGCATGAATGTGATCAAATAAAACTCAGATGAGCTGTGTTATTATGTCATTACAGCAGAAGGAAGTGAGCCTATAAATGCAGTGCAGTTATGTAACTTTCCTTAAGTTCTTCATTAAAACATGGTTAAAGTTTATTTATCTACATTTTAAATACTTGAGCAGCATTAAAATGTGTAAGTTTTTCTCTGCTTTATTATCAGATCCACTTTTAACATGTTTGGTTTCAAGGGATTTTGAAGTGAGGTGATCTAAATGAACATGTGGGAAGAAACCTGGATTTTAGACAAATAAATCAAAAAGTAAACCAAGTCCCTGTGCATATCTATCAGGTACGCTTTATGTCAGAAATGGTATAAGTCAGAGTTTGGCCTGGGTCACACCTAGGTAAAGTCACACTGTCTTATCTGGAGCAGAACAGTCCCAAACACTCCAGCTGTTATGTTTTTCCACTCATCATAAATTAAAGACACACAGTGTAAACTCCTTTTAAATCCCTGTATGTACAGTCTTCTGCCTTTTACCAGCAGGCAGTGCTACAAACAAAATGAAGCAATGTAATAAAGATGTTTTCAGGAGGGGGCGCTGATCTTACACGTAAAGTCTAAGGTACTTTGGACCCTGCTGGTTTGAGTTACAGTAACTTTTTGTTGTATTGCAATATTGAGGTTCAGTTTAACTAAATGTTTTACATTTGAAAGGATAAAAACTCCAAGAAGGTGGACAGCCAATCATGGTTTAGAATTTTTGGTGGCATCTAAGGATGGGAGATCCGATCTCAGGGTGATGCCACCCCTTTGGACGTGTTCCTGGAGATATTAGCAGGATGACTTTACTGTCTTGTCACGATACAATCGGATAATGGGGTCAAAATAAAGTCCGTTTTTTTTCTAACTTAAGTCCAAAGAAACTTCAAGACAAAAGTTTTAATTTTGAGAGAAATATTTAAAATACAATGTAAAGGGTAAAGGTGGAACTCTAAGAAAAATGTTGAGAAAAATAGTGATAATTTAGAGACTAAATTTAAAATGCAATTTCATAGAGACTTTTGAAAGTCCATAAGAAAATTGAAACACAATTTTTCAGGGCTGTTAAGTGGTCGTGTCAAATTTAAACATAAAAAAAGTTTTATACAAAAGAGTTTCCATGCAAAGTGGATTTTGACTTTTTTTAACTGTAAATTTTAACTTTTTTTCTTCATGAGTTTCAACTTTTAGCCTCAAATTTGAATTTCACCTTTTCTCAGAATTTTGACTTTATTTTTGACATCCTGACTTCTTTCTTGTCATAAAAAATGTCCTCCTTTTATTGACCAACTGTTACTGATATCAAAGTAGAAACTCAATTAATTTTTAGATTTAGTGGGAAAGAACTATTGATACCATCATTTTGGGTGCTGAGAATCAATGATTAATCTGTGTTAAAATAATTCAAAAGTAATAAATTTTTATCCAAAATCAGCTCTAAAATGTCCCTAAAATTTCCAAAAATAATAATGAAATACAGTGTTCTGCACAAGCCTGAAAATTTTTTTTTTTTATATCAAACAAAATCACTTTTTTTCAGTAAAATAAATCACAGTTTTTTACTGAATCATAAACTCACTGCTGTGGGAATTTACATTTGAAGAAGTTCTGTAGGGGAAAAAAAGTTTGATTTTGTATCTGATGAGTTTTGTGCAGGCTGGACTCACCTGTACTGTTCTGGTCCGGCTGCTGCAGACCTGCACATCCATAAGAGCAGGATTATAAACCGTAAAGAGTCCATTGCTAACGGAGAGTTAGCAGGAGAGGAAGACAAAGGGACATGTCACAGGCCTTTATATACAGAGGACAGAGGACGGAGGACGGAGGATGGAGGACGTGGGGGGGGGGGGGGGGGTGAAGTGGATGTAGATGGATGAATGGCTGCAATTCTCAATGTTGCAAAATGTGTCAATGAGTAACAGTATTATAGGGCTAGGGTGTGTCCCTGAATGTGTGTGTGTGTGTGTGTGCATGTGCTTTTTGACCTCTGAGCGGTTCACCTGCTGGGTGGGGATGCCCATCAAACACTATATTACAAAAAGCAGGTTGTCCTGTGAGATACTGTGCAGCTTATTGTGTAATAAAGAGAAAACTTTGATCGGGACACGCCCTCCTCCTCATGTTCTGTGTACTAATATATTTATGTGACTAAGGCGCTCCTCGATTACCACGATAAAAGATATGTGATTAATCAACCAGTGTTAGGAACGATTACCATAAAGGTTTGCTTCACTGTGTTTAGAGAGGCTAAAGGAATCTCTGTATGGTGGCCCTGAAGGTTAAATGCACCAACACTGATCACAAAAACCTTTTGTGAAATTCAAACCTAGTCAACTAAAAACTCTATGTTTTTACAATCATGTAAATATGACAATTATGCAGAATGCAACATGTTAGTTCAGTCAAAGTCTTTGCTGAATGTAAAATTCTTGAAAAATCAAGAATTACTTTATAATAGAAAAAATAAATAAAATTAAAACAGAGAAAAGATATCAATTTGGTATTACCTTTTATAAAATGTTTCAAGGTTGTAAATTATTTGTGTCTCTGTAATCAATTTTGCACTTAAAGGCTTTTTATTTCCTAAATTTTGAGTGACTTTGCATTTTTGTTTCATATATAAACAGAGTGTGGCTGGTTGTTGTTCATCTGAGAAATCCTGATACTAGTTCTTGCTCACAGGCTAACAGACTCAGACATTGGCAAGGAGCTGCAAGCACATAAACCAGCAGAGACATGGTCCAGGAGATGACAGGAATACAGACTGGAGGAAGTTTGTTTGCTACACAGACAAAAAATGGTCAAAAGCACACAACTGAAATGAGGACACCTCGGCTTCACCAGGACATACTCTGGACAGCTCTGACAATCTAAGATCCCATAAATCTTAGCCAGTGTTTCTATGGGAGGTCATTTAGAGGTCATCAAGTCATCGTCTGTCTGCATCTTCCTCTATTAATTTCTATTTTTAGCACCACACATCAGTTTGTTGTTGAAGTCTGTTTACCAAGGCAACCAGACTGGAGAACTTTCCATGAGCACTTTGACCTCTGTCTCTGGGCGTTGACTGTGACACTTTACTACCTTTATCTGTCTGTTGCCTTTAAGGGCCTATCTGTTTGTTCGGACAGTGTTTAACACAGAATCATCAACTTTACATTGCTCAAAAATCTGAAAGCAGTTTTGTTTTCTTTATTCAGAATTAGGCCTCAGCCATAAAGAGAGGAAAACACCAGGGGGAGTAAAAACTGTGACTTAAGGGGTTGAATTTCCACATATTGGGTCTCCAAAAATTTATGTGCTGGAGGTTGAGCAAGAATGGGTCAGTCGATATGGGAGAGATGTGGTTCTATCAGTCATAAAGGTTTTGCAAGGAATACTTTATTTATATATGATTACACACATTTATTTTTTAAGACTTTATACTGACTGTTTTTTTATATATCAGATTTAAATGGACCAACCACTGACAAGAAATGACACCCCCAAGATTTAAAACGACAACTTTCCCATATTTGCTTTGACTCATAACTGCAGAAGTGACACTTTTGTTTTCACTACATGCTCGAAATCTCTTGAATGTCCTCATGTCCTCATTTTACAAGAACTTCTAACTTTTAACAGTAACATGAGAAAAACAAAACGTTTTGAGAGAAAGTCCTTCCTTCCAAAACCTCCTCCCCCTGTCGGACTTATGATTGGTGTTTTGTGTTGGTACAGTGTGCACGTGTGGCGTTGGATTAAATGTTCAGAGGAGATGGGAAGAGGACGCTGAAAAAAGTTAATGGTTTGTACATGGTCTAAAATAAACTGTTGGGTGGAGCCTCGAACCTTGGAGTATAGTGGAATAATCAGTTTTATCAGGAACACAGTCGAGGTTGATAGACTGTCACTGATAGTACTCTGTAAGCAGGTATGTGAGGGTTGATACATACACTCACTGACAAAGTGAGGTTAAAAACTGGACCTAAACAGATTCTCTTGGGCAGCTAAACATTGCCAGTGAGGAAACCATCCAGGTACGCCCTCCACTGGTAAGTGTCCTCACCCACTGCGAGAACAGCACCCTCTGGTGATGGGCTGCAGTATAGGTCATAAATCTTGCCTCCGCCAGCCATCCTCATAGGACTGTGGACAAACTTTAGACATTTATTTTACAGAATATACTGGCAGAAGGCAGAACCAAGTTGTCCATGGTATTTACATTCTATGGTTCTCACCTACCATATTGTTCCCAATGACCTCAGTGATTCAGATGGAGCTGCGGTTGTTCCCTCCATCCATCATATGGACCTTTACAGTAAGACCAGTCTGTACAACACGGTCACATTTGATAGACTCATACATGCAAGTGCCACAAAGTGACAACAAACCTACAACCCAGAAGAGTTGACAAAGAAGAGTCTTCCTGAGCAGGGTCGAGAGTCTTGTTTGGGCCAGAGCTTACCCTCAGGTTGGGGTGTACACTCTACCTCCTAAAAGACAAGAAGAGAAAGAAAACAGAGAGAAAAGCCAGGACGAAAATCCTGTTTGTGCTAGAGCTCCCTCCATACCAGATTTAATTGTACACTCTACCTCTCCCTGCTTCAACAGAGAGGAGATACAAAGGGCTGCTAAAAAGAGGACAACGCAGAAAAAAAGGTAAGAGATGTGTGTAAACTATGGCTATGTCCTTGGGGTCAGGATGTACGCTCTGCCTCCCCCTGCCTCCTGACTTACAGAAGGAAAGAGAGGAAAAGACACTTAGAAAACAAAAGGGAGAATCTGTTATGTAGACAGAGAAGGGATCGCCAAGCCTTTTACTGACTAGATCAAACTGAACACTCTACCTCCCCAGAAGACCTCATTGCAATGAGCTGGGTAAGGAGGGAGGAAAAACTGCTCGGAAAGAGGTTCTTAGATATGGGACTGTCTCCTCAATCCGTGTGAGCCCTGAGAAGGAAGAGGATTACACAGAAATAGCTCCACTATTAAACCTTCTCAATCACACTCAGTCAGAGATAAGGAGCAGGAAGGAGGCAGACTGCAGATTTATGGAAAGATTTTGTAATTTAAAGCTCACAGTCAGTAACTCTGAGACATCAGACTGATGTGGATACAAAGCAGACTGACTATTCTTTAGTTGGGATCTCCTTTTTGCGTCTTCAATAAATATTACATCATTATTTAAGTAAAAAAAAGAGATAAGGGGACAAAAGAGGAAGAAAGTAAGAAATCAGTTCAAATGAACTTCAGTGACTGAAAAATTAAATCATTCTGAACTTTAGTCTTACAGGAATAAAAGTTATATCACCTCTGTCTTATTCTGTCACTAATTCTAAAAACTTGGAGAAGGTCCCAGTCATACCTTGAGAACTCAAATAAAACTATATAATATTAAGAGGAGGGTGCAGTAACCAAAACATTGTTAAGACATTTGATTTATCTTTATACCCCCAATCAAAAGGATTTGCTCAGTTTATTGTCAGGGCGTACAAAAAAAATGTGCTGTAAAGGGCGGAGTCCAGTGTACGTCACTCTGTGAGAATAGTAGATCAGGTGAGGTCAGAATAACCTTTTCCTGGATTATGAAACACTGAATGATTGAAAATGAATCATCGCAGAGAAATTTATCATGTTGGCGAGAAAAAAACACACTAACCACACAAAAAGCTTGTAGAGGAGCGAACGTGGTGAAGGGTTGGAGGAGGACAGCCGGCCACAGTGTCGATATTCAGAAACCCTCAGATAACACTCCACACAACTCCATACTAAAGCCAAGTCCTGGTTCTCGGTTTTACCCTTTCCCTCATTTTTGAGCGCCACTATGAGGAAGTGATTAAATCTTCCGCTACGAAATGTGACCACTCTTTAAAACCTTGTATCAGTTTTCCAACATATGTTTAATACCATTTTCAAATCGTATCATCAAACACATAAAGCTTCAGTAAGTGTTTGAGTATCACCCTTTTTATTAACCTCTCTGCTCTTTGGCTTCCTTTACCTTATCTTTACTTTAGAGTTTTGATTTGAGTCACACAGAAACCATGAAAGGAAAGCCGCCAGAGTCTTATTTATCATGTTTGAGTGAGTGTTGGTTCAAGGTGCTTTAGATTTAGAGGACTGTTAAGGCTTACAGGAAATCTCACAGTGAAAGTATTTTCAGACTGAAGTAGTCGTGGTGATTCAAAAAGGGGCTTAAGTGGTTTAACTACAGTGGGAGGGTCACTGTTTTTTGAATCCGTTCTATCGATCATGTAGCAGGAGCCACAACACTCAGAACAGCTGTATTCGGTGGTCCGGTGCATGCCTGTGTGGAGTGTCAAAGCTCGAGGCACAGCTCCCTTTAATTTCATGCACGTATGAGAAGATTCAAGGCAGGGAGAGCAGCAGCAAAGACCCCTGAGACATTTTGAAGAAGCAGGAGGAGGAGTGGGCAGGCTAAAACCATTTAAATAAAAGATCTATTTTAACATCAGCAGAAGGAAACCGGCTGAGCCATCAGCTGATATAAGCTGGTATCAGGATCAGCTGATGCACTGTGGACAGAGCTTGACTTTGTGGCCTTCCTGAACCAACACTGTGGAACAGTAAATATGTGGTCCAAAGAGTTGTTTCAGCACAGGGCAGGTCCCTCCTCAGAACGGGTTGTGAGCCAAGATTACTCAGACGATGTGGTTCCAGTCTGCTTTAAACAAACCCTGGAGAGGGTGTTTTGTAAGGTGTGTCCCACATTTCTATAAGGTATGGACCTTCTCACCT